TGACGTTCTTACAAAGTGCTTGAGTCAAGTGACATTCTGTCAGCACCAGCAAGCTATGGGTATATACCCTGGTGAAGATGTGCAGCAGGTGTGGAGGATCTGTGGAATCCGACCAAGGGTTGGAGTTCAGGCATGCCAGTGTGCCGAGGCAACTGGATGCAGTGTGGAGCAAGTTGGATCGTTGAAAAGTGTGAAAAAGTGTGGCGAAGTTTTTGAAAATTTCCACCTTAGAAGTCCCGAAACCCTTCGTGAAGACTCTTCCCCTGAGGTTCAAGAAATGGATTTATGGTCCAACCGCAAAAGCTTTGGTTCAAGCACCACGGAAGCTAGCCCTAGCCTGGAGCCTGTACCTTTGGTGAAGGACAGGAAAATGGCAGCTGAAGACAGCAGGAAGGGTGAGCAGGGTGCTGAGATGAAAAGCCCCTTTTGGTGTAAGGTTTGCAAATGGTTGTTCAGATCCGAGCATGCTGCCGGGTTGAGCTGGGATGAAAGTGGCAAGCCCAAGTGCGAAAAGTGCAAACAGACTGTGACAGTCTCTGGCACGGATGCAAGCCATGCATTCCATCTCCGAGAGGCAGAGAAGGAGCGCCGAGCTGCTGGAAAAAGGGGTGATAAAGGTGAAAGCCGAGGCTCAGGCCAAGCTGCACCGAAACCCAAGGCCATGCCGAAGGTGATTGAACGGATGGTCGACGTGTTTCCGGAGCTGGCGGATCCAGAGCCGCCGAAGTGGTTCGGTGATGTGTCATGGAGTATCTGCCGGCGCGGAACTCCAGTGGATGAGCTAGAGCTCAAGGACGTGATAGGCACGCTATCCGACAAGGATATGTTGCGCTATCAAAGCTCATACGAGAAGCTGGTGAAGCCCATCCAGGAGGTGTGTGAGCTACAGGAGAAACCCACGAAGATCTTCGGAATCTTGGATGTCCGTGGACAGATTGGTGGCAAGGCCATCATCTGGGAGATGGCAGTGAATGAAGGAGGACTGTACATGGAAGTGCCGCCGGGAACGTGTGGCCTGGCGATGTTGAGCTTCGTGAGGTACTTGAAGAGAAAAGGGATAATCCCTGTTTTGCTTCTGGGTGAGCACCAGGACCTCGGAGTCTTGCGGATGGTGGATCTGTTGTGCATGCTACCCATTTTGGGAGCAGAGAGGATCATGGAGGATGAAGCTGAGAGCTCGTATTATCCCCCATGGGTGTTGCGCTGGAAGAGAAGTGCAAAGGAAGGATCCTTGGTGTTTAAGGAACTGGTGGAGCGAGTGCGAGTGATTTCGATGTTGTCGTGTGATACACTTCGGATTCACGAGCCGGAGCTGAGGGAGAGACCAGTCCCCAAGTGGTCGTTTGTGGCCTACAGCCACTACAGATCCGTGATGGAGTCTGTTGCAGGATTCTTGGAGGACCTGGAGAAAAAGAAAGAGGAGATCACCGACACGCAGAGGGCGGCAAGCTGGAAGAAGGTGGTTGCGAGTGAGACTCGAAGCGGTGTTGTGTGGATCTGCAAGTGTAAGTGGCACTTGCCGACCGACTATGTGGTGAGGTTCAACTTGACGTTGCCTGCCGACATGTGGCAGCAAGCCTTTGGGATCATGGGTGAGAATGTTGGGAAACTCGAGAAGGAGGAAAAGGACCTGAAGCGGATCCTCAAGGCTGCAGCGGAACAGCAAGACCGAGAGTTCGAGGAAGCTGAGCGAAAGCGCAAGCGCATCGCCGACCTGTCAGCTGCCGAGGAAGAAGCTGCTAAGAGAGCAAAGCTGGAAGGCGAAGCGGTTCGCTCGCCTGTGTCAGTTGTACCATCTGAGTTGGATGCAGCAGCTATCGCGCAGATTGCTGAGCGTGTGAAGGCAAGCTTTAGTGTTGCCGATTTGGAGCTGATGTTGGAAGAGAAGAAGAGAAAGGTTGGAGACCAGCCAACTGAGAGGCCTGCGGAGACGCCAGCTGAGCCTAGCCGATCTTCGCAGGATGTGATGATGGAAACGAGGACGGCTGAGTTGGCGGAGATGAAGGAAGCCGCCAAGGAGCGCCGCGCCAAGTTGATGGAGTCAACTGGAGCTGGCGAGAAGAAGGGCGAAGAGGATGAAGAATGAACTGAGATGCTAAGTGATCTCAGTGGTTGGGTGGGTGAGTGAAACCCGCAGCCATTTTTTTGGAAGCCATGGCCGCGTTGCCGCCATGGAGCGCCCGCGATTTTTCTGGTTAGTGTGAGCCCTTGTTTCAGTGCATGAGAAGTTTGCAAAGAGGAGGCAAAATGATGATGAAACTCAACGAGGGACTCTATAGCCCCTTCTGCAAGGCGTCTGATTGCCACCTCTGAAGACGTTTTTGGCTGATGGTACGCTGGAAGAAGCGAAACTATGAAGCCAATCTTTTCTTGAAGGATCAGCTAGCCGATGCTAGTTGGTGAGTTTGGTGACCTGGAAGATGCGAGACTGAGGAGGAGTACCACGACAAGGTCGAGTGCTGAGTGGGAAACATCTGAAGCTTGCATTAATTCGTTTTCACGTGTTTGTCACCACGAACTCTTGGATTCGTTCCAAGACAACCCTGCCCCAGTGCAGGTGGATGCAAGTTTAATTCGTTTTTCACGTGTTTGGACAACGAACTCTTGGGTTACCAGTGATGTGGACCCAGGACAACCTGCCTGATGGTGGGATCTTGCATGAGTTTTAAGTTTGATGTCAGAGATCGACTGGTGTGTTGTTTGTTTCGTTTGGTGGCGAGTACGCACCAAGGGAATGTGGCCAGGGCATCCCCTTAGTGTTGAAGTGCCGAGCTGGGCTTGGACTTCAGATCTTTGACATGAACCCTCAGCAAAATGCGGGGGGTGGAAGATTGTGGCTGATCAGTGATGTTTTTGTCATGTTTTGGATCAGCTTGTATAGGTTTGTTTTGCTTCGGAGTGATTGGGAATCCGTGTGATCCCATCCTCGATGGTTTATGCCTCGTTGATTTCCAAGGAAATCATACGAGTGTGTTTTTGCCCAATACGCTATTTAAAGTGAGTGTGCAGTGTGTAGGAACTTCGTTCTGAAGCTGAGTTTAAGCTCACAAGAGAGAATTCGTTTAGTTTGTGCACTTCGTGACTTTTGGCTCAAGTGGCTCTGACTGTGAAAAAGAGAGAGCTGTCCGCACTTGTGTGAGAGGTCAGGGTTCGTGCTTTCAAGGGAAAAGGTACCAGAGGGACCTTCGTTTTTTCACGTGCTGTGACAGAGCCCTTGTTTGTGGGCAGAACGGGCCTTGGCTCTTATAGGTTAGGGGTTTGGGAGGTTCAAGCAATTTCCCACCCTTGAATGTCAGGTTGTGAACTTCTTGCCCGGGTCCGGGCCTCCTGTCTCTAAGAATCACGCTGAGACGAAGAATACGAATGATACGAAGCAGAGTTTGGGACACAACTTCCTGAAGCTTCAACTCTTGCTTTTCCACTCTCTCTGCACTCACCTGTGTTGGAGGCCTTGCCTTCAACCTTAAAGCCGACCCAGGTCGCTCGGCTGCCTTCCAGTTTGGAGGTCGGTGGCGCCCACGATCGCTTGTTTCGCAATTGTTGGTTGAGAGTTGCAGTTGACGGTTAAACCAGCTCTCAGAATGACCGTTGCCTGGAAGGCAAGTAGGCCAAAGGTGGCACTGGAGACAGCACAGGCCTGCCACACGCTCGGTCTTTAGTGAAGGCTGAATATGTGTCTGTGCGGTGTCCGACGAGTCTATGCGCATTGTCTCTGAGCGAAAGGTGAGTACGAGAAATGTTGTTTGGTTGTCAATAAGGATGAGGGCCTTCTTCCCGCTTCAGTGGCCCGCCACCACCTCTCCTTCTTTGTGCAGAATGTGGGGGCTGTGGGGACGTAAAGCTTTCCCACTGACCTTGATCAACAGGACAGTTTTGGTAAGGTTCACTACAAGGCTCAGATCGTGCATCACTCTCAGGAGCTTGTTCAAAAATTTGGATAGCAACTCAACATCATCGGCACTCTCAATGAGCCACCGCGCAAGTGTGTCATCTGCGAAGGTGGTATCCTGTCTGTAGGGGCGCGAAAGGGCGTCCCCAAGATTGCTCAATAGTAGCGTAGAGATGGCGACCCAAAGCATGGGCGCAATTTTACATCCCTGTCTGATGCCTCGATTAGTACAAACCACCCTATCTTGGTCATTCTGTATGTGATACCTAGAGGTGTCAAGAAGGGAGATAATAGCCGCAGTCATGCCACCGTCGGCTCCAAGGCGTTTGAGGGACAGTGCTAGCGCGCGTCTATCTACCCTGTCGAATGCTTGTTTAAGATCAAGGCTTAGGATGGCGCCCCCGACGCACAGATGTTGATTAGAGGGGTCAGCTTTTCGTTCGTATTGCGCAAATTTGCCCCCACCCCCTTTTCTGTAACAGTCCCTGAACTTTATCATCCAAACCTACACGCAGGTCTTTTTTGTTCGCTATCCCACAGTATTGGCTAGGATGATACGATGGCTACGGATGATGTTGGAATCATTTCAGTCGCCCACGATACACTCCGTGATGACCCAGTGATGAGTAGTTTTTCATCTCGTCTAGAGTTGTAGTCAGGTCACACGTCTCGTAGATAAGACGGACGCGAAATTAACCCTGTTTTACACTATACACTTTGTACAGCTCCGAGTCCGTGTGACCTCAACCCTGGGACCCTAGCTTTGTTTTCGTCGTGGTGTCCCTTTACGTAGGGAGGAACTCTTGAACGGTGCGAGGAGTTGTGCACATTGGCGTCGTGGAAAACCTCCATGAAGCGTTGTCGACAAAATTGGTATGTTGCTATACATTTCTTCGGCCGGGTTTGCGGGCACAGCCGCCAGCCCATGGCATGCATGCATCATGCATGCATCATGCATGCATCTCTACGTGTGGCTTATGGCCAGAAGATTGAACATTGTGAGGAACACGTTAGCAGCCAACCGTTAGCAATCTTTTCATGAGTCATGAGCCCCAGGACTACGACACGTGTACGGGCGACCACGGTATGAGCAGACGACGTTGTGTGAAAGATGCCATGCCGAGAGCTAGCTGCATTGCAGGCGCAGTTGATTGAGATAACCTGCCCCATCATTCACGGAGTTGCAAACACTGATTATGTTTGCTTGTTGATTCGAAGTTGTGTGCCAGGCAATGATGTTTGCCGATGGCCGACCACGGGTTAGTGCGAGGCTCCAGCAGGAGGCTGAGGTGTTTTTGCCTGCTCGCTCAAGCCGTTCAAGCTGTAGAAACATTGGGGTTCGCACGAAACCCGCAGCAACGAGGCTGCTGTTGCTGCATCCGAGTATGGGCCTGAGTTGTCCATGAACCACTTGACACAGTTCATGAGCTGTGTTGGCTTGATTGGTATGGCAGTCACAAAACATGCCGCAAGGTGACAGATCGAGCGTATCAAGGAATGCCTTTTTGGAGGCGCTGTATTTTAGGGTTGTTAGTAAAGCAAAGGCCGGCCAATGCACAACAATGATCAATAGCGCTCGTTCAGTTTGTAGCCTGCGCCCCCGTCGAGCACAACTGCATTTGAACCCGCCAAGCCTAGAATGACACAGGGCAGCCCCTGAGCGCCTACCACAGAGATGCCCGCAGAGTGTCTTGCAATAGAAGCATGGTATTCTTTCGACCAGCGTGTGGTTTTGTGATGTTGTTTGGCTCTCAAGCCTGCGAGGTCGCAAGTCCTCTGAAGCTGCAGAGCTCGCAGCATGCCGAAACATGCCAAAGAGCGAGTTGCTTTGAGGTTTAGGCCCTTGGAGTGGCCCAGGTTCAAGAGACTGACTGCAGAAGAGAGGGACGAGCTTGAGGACGCTGCAATGACTTGTTTCGCTGAAACCCCACGTAGATCCAAGTGCAACAGGAAATGAAGACTTCCAGGTTCGAGCGCGAGGAGGTCGCGAAGTCACTGTGCGCACAGCTAACTCAATGTGCCGAGTGCAGGAACACCACAAGGCAGACGGCACAGGTGATGGTGGTGCTGGTGACAATGGGGCAGTTCTTCCGCTGCCTGGGTGGCTTGGATGCTTTTGAAAATTCAGGCTGGCCGAAGTCTCACACAAAGTTTCTTTCGATGACAGCGCCCAGGTTTCTCACTGCGGTGCCAGGCGCACACGCCGTCTTCTTGATCCGCAAGAGCGGATTCTGACGAAGTCTGCAGTGTTCTTTCAATATGATCATGTCGGACAGGCGTCAGCAACGTGGCAAGCAGCTCGTATGTTCTCAGTGTGTACGAGCTGCAGCCTTGGATTGAAGTTCAGCCGAGCATGTTTTCGTGTGAGACACCGGCAGTGAGGTATGCCAAAGAAAACCCGATGATGACAGCCTGGACTGTCGACTGCCTAACACAAACTACTGCCAACCAATGCAAATGATATTTGCCTGTGGGCTTTTTGATGGTTCCGCATCCCGTCAGGTTGGAACTGCAGCTTTCAGTGCTGCGGCCAGTGCATTCAGGTTCTTGGAGTCAGGGCAAGGGCCGGAGGATTGTTTGCTTCTTTTGCTGTTCGAGCCAACTTCCAACCAGCTGCTATATTTTTTGATTTGCGGGGGGAGGGTCGGGGCCAATGCCTTCATTGGAGGTCGGTCTATGACTACTTGTACCCACCAGAGGACGTTGGCTTGCGTGAACAATTGTTACAGGCTCAGCTGCCAAAACATAGTTTCAGGATGCCGGCTGGCTGGGTGGTTGGGATGCTGGCTTGCTGAGTGGTGGTGCTGTGGCGCGCTCCAAAGCTTTTGTGGTGACAGTTCTCCTTCCGTTCTCTGGCAGTACAGACGCCCGGAGGCTGGGGGCTGGTTTAGCAGCACAGCCGCAGTCCTGGCGACATGTTTGAGCTCGTCGTAGGAGGGGTGCCCATACTTGGCAGTTTGCCTAGCTCCTGCTTCTGGAAACATGCTCCTTGCGTTGCCAGACTTCCTCCAGCAGCTGGTTTGGGGGTGGTGTCGGAGCCCAGGACGGACCTGTAGCGTGAATAGATGGAGATCGTTTGAGCATCCTCTCTTGCAGTCGAGTTGATCAAATCGATGTGCCCATGGCATGCAGGGTTTCAAAGACGTGCTCTTTTGCATAAAAGTGCTTGCGAGATCTTTGTCCAGGCAGATGCGGCAGATGCATCGGGCTCGGGTGGTTGGTTCGGCTTTGGCGGCTCCGCGACCTCCGCCGCTGCCGGCGGGGCCGCAGCCGGCGGGGCTGCAGCTGGCGGGGCAGCGGCAGCTGGTGGCTGGTTCGGTGGGCTCTTCGGAGGTGGCATTGGCTTCTGCTGCATTTTGTCACAAGCACGGCTGGATGGGAGGTTTGCTGGCGACTGGTGGCCTTTCGTAAGTCTAGCATCTGCTGCAGGATCCAGTGGAGAAGACAAGGGCCAGGCACAACCTGTCCCATGGTATAGAAATTTCATGGCTACAAGCAGCTGCGTCTTATGACACGCACAGCATTTTCGGTTCACCGGTTCGAGATGGCTAGGGTCGAGAAGTCTGCATACTCTTCATTGTTAGTGCCTCCGGCAAAGAATGACCGTGCGTGTGAAAATGATTACGGTCGCTCCAGATATTGTGGGAAAGGACCGCCGAGGATGGGGGACGGGGGGGGGACGATTCTGGCTCGGAGCGCTTTCTTGTTTAGGGGTATATAAGTTTGCGCCATTGTGAACTGCCTTCTGCGTCTGGCAATCGGCTTGCTATTGGTGTCAACATCAGTCCACAAGCAGCTGTTGTGGTAGCTGCAAGCCAAACACAGCACCAAAACTGCTGACGAATGTGACTCACGAGATCTTCCAGTGGTCCTCTCAAAATCGGTTCATCGATACTCATAGCACGTCTCAGCACCTTGACTTGTTATCTTGTGTTCCATGATTTTCAAGGATGGCATTGAGCAGGAAATCGCCGTGTCTTCGTCATCGCGTGCGAAGACTGTACCTCACGACCCAATCCCTGGTCAAGTGCCCGTGTTCGCAACCAAAGACTCAAGGAACATGAACATGCAGTCGAAATGTCAGCGCATTACCCGACCTCGTGAGCTTGACATTTTGTTGGCCTTCCTGCCATCCAGCATCCCCACGCGAATTTCAGCAAACTACTCGGAGGTATAATTCAGAGATGCTACAGGGCGGGATAGCAGCACACAGTGGCATGCAGCCTTCTTGCGGCCTCTTCCGTGGAGTTCCTGAAGATGGGATCCTACGCGGTCGCCTTCTGGTTGCAAAGTCGTCCCTAGTCCGCAACACGCTGACAAGATCCGTACTTGAAGCGAGGAGTTGGTGCTGGTCGGTGGCTGCTGCAAGCAGGTCTCATTGCTGTCATTGTAGCTTGACTGCACGTCTGGTGATGAGTAGGGTGACGTAATGAGGGCCAGGTGGGGTGTCTGTTGCTTGCCAGGATGTATGACAAGACCTCAGAAGCATACTCAGGATATACTCAGGTACCTGTATTAAAAGGGGCCCGTCAGCTGGCTTAGTTCTTGGAATGGCAGATGAGGCACTGGCTGTGTGCGTCTTGGACCCAGCTTCTGACCGCTTTTCTGCTGAGACCTTTGCCAACCAAAAGATGCCGAGGTTCTGGTCTTCGTTTTACTTCTGAGCGAGTCATTGGTGTTGTTCATCGTCACGCTGTCAGTTTCTTGTCATTCTTTCGTCCCGGAAGGGGACTTGGAGACCTGTGTGTAAGACATTGTGCAACATGACGAACAGAGTTTAAGAAGAAGATCCAAGAATCTCCCAGATCCATTCGTAAGAAACATGTTAACCCTGCGCAAAATCATCCAAATCAAGTCTGAGTGCAAGGTTTCAGGATTTCTATTTGCGAGCATGCCCCTTGTCTGCATCATGCGATGCGATCCTGGTGTGCTCTCGTTGTGTCGTACAACGTTTCGAAGCCGAGGAAGTTTTGCCTTCGTCCGTGGGCGTGGCTAGGCAGGGGCCATCAAAGCCAATTGGTGTTGCTTGAAATACTATGACTTGCAGGCATGGACTCTCACTTACCGATCCTCTTCGATCTACAGACATCGGGGCTGGAGGTGCCTTTTATTTGAAAGATTTTGAAGAGGAAGTTGCCATGTTGCTCACCAAGGCGCATTCTTTCAGCATCTGATTCAAGCACCAGTGTTCCATGCCAGGTTGGCACCTGGGACTACTGCTTCCTCCGAAGGAAGAGCTGGCCAGCAACCACTCTCCGGGATGTGCACCTTGGCTGTGGGGTTTCGGGCGGGTCTAAGGTCTGGCTGCAAGGAACGCGCCGTGCCATGTGCAGATTGAGAACTTTCATGAATTGTCAAGTACAGTTGTTTGATGGGGCACCGGTCAAGAAGGTCAAACCTTAATTTGTTCCTTCATACTGTGGCGATTATTCATTCATTCGCAGCCATCAAGTGAGTTCGCGAAAGCGGTGTCGGAGGGGCCCCGTCATCTGTCAAGATGCCCATCGCAGTCCCTCCTGCGATAGGACCGACTCCAGAGAAACCAAACACACAGCAGAGTCACAGAGTCAAGTCGGTCGCCAGCACGCTTGGATCAAAACTGCGTGTCTCAGACAGACGTCTACTGTCCCATATCCGTTGCAGTAGCTGGTCGAAAAGGATTGAGGATCGCGCTCTTGCTCTTCCCTCTTCGCCTGTCCGCGGATTGTCATTCCAACCTCATCGGTCAGTTTGTCGACCAACATCTTCAAAAAGTTGCTCAGCGGCTGCGTGCACAGGAAAGTCCTCCCCGTCTGAGGTCGTTCCTTCAAGCCCCAGGTCCTTTCCTTCTAGGTTCCAGTCCCCTTTGAGCACTAGGATTGTTTCACTTTCGCGCCGCCCTCGGAAGTAGGAGTTGGCCTTGTTGCGCGTCTAGACGCTTTTTCATCCAGTGGTTGTTCTGCTTTGTTCTGCTGTTGTCGCTGTTACGGCTGTTCGCACTTGTCATTTGCTTCCTGTATGTCATTTCAAGTTTGTCGGTCCCTGGTCCCGACCAGGGCAAAGAATCGAAAATCTGTGTCCGCCTGCTTAACCACGTTCTCCATGCGTGACAGGTGGTATAACCATCCCCCATCTTGGACATGTTTTTGAGATGCGCGCGCATCCCAGTCTGAAACAGAAGGTCGGTCGTATAGTTGCAGATGTGTTGTAAACCAGTTTCTTGGAGCCAATGGATTTTCCGCACAACAAGCTTGCTGTGCGCCACACGTTGCGCGCAGTTCCGTGCTTTTGGTCCCGCGCTTGAAGGAGGTTGAGCTGTGAGCCCTAAGCTTCTGGCTGTTAAGGTCAGAGTTATGGTCAAAACAGATTCGAGATGCCAAGTTACCTCATCATTCCAGAGGCGGGTCTACAAAGAGACTCTGGACTCCTTGGGCGAAACCGGAGAATCTGAGCCAGTTCCGATTTCCAGCAGCGAGAAGGCAAGGCATATTGTTTCTGTGATGTTGGGACATTTTCGTGTGTGTTTGGCCCGAGTGAATGGTGTTTTGTGGCAGCGTGTTTGGTCTTGCTCGGAATTTCATGCCGTGAGGTGTCAGCCGAGCTCCCGCAGTGCTGCGATGCTACGAAGGCGGCTGTGCCAACGGAAAGCAATCCCTCAAGCTTTTATCAGACATGTGCTTCAACATCAGTATTGTTGTTAGTGTGCACAGATCGGATTACATCAACAATAGCAGGTAAACATGCGTACACGTGCGCGGCATGTGTTGTGCAATTCAGTTCGTGGTTTGGCAGTTCGGGTAGAAGTGTGTGTGTGTGTGTGTGACTGTGCGTGAAGTGACCTGGCGATTTGTGAAGGCATGCTTTGGCTCCTGCTGGAGATCATGCTGCTCTAGCGGCGCTTGGGACGCAAGTCCTTGGCGGACCAGACTCAGATTCGCAGAGCTTCCTAGTAGGATGCGCTAGTTACCCTAAAGGATCCTAAATGTGAGCAACGCGAGAGTGGTTCGGGGGTCAGCAGCAAGTAGACACATCTGCATTCAAATTGTGCATTTAAAATGCATTCAGATACTACACTTGGCGACGTCGAGGTTCTGGCAGCTTTCTAGTCTCCGGCGTGTTTCTGGGTGCCAAAGTGGAGAGCAAAGTGGTGCGTCTGACAAGAGATGCCGGGGTCTGAGACTGGCAGAGTATGTGGTCTGTGTGCTTCAGCTCATTTCAACTCTCTGTCTTACTATTTTAGATGATTTTACTCATGCTTTGCTTGTGTAGACATTTCAGGTCTGGACCCGGAAGGAGGTAGAGCGACTACTGACCCTGGCCCAGCAGGGACGCCAGCTGCTCGGCCTGCCCGAGGCGGAGCGTTCGGCTTGCGCTCTGTAGCCAGCTTTTTTTGCTGCATCTCTTTTGCATGCTCTTGCATATTCTGCATTGTGTCGGCGTCGTGATCTCGTTCTTCTTTTCGAGGATTGCTAAGGGATTTCCCTAACAGGCAACATTGCAGTTTGCAGTGTGCGATTGCCATAGCAGACCGCGATGTTGCTTGGAGACTGAAGTCACCGATCATGGCACGTTGCTCACAACTCGGCCTTCAGCTGGAGCCTCTTTCTTGTCGTTGCCGCCTCCGTCTTGGGTCTGGGATCACGGCGCGGAAAAGATCATAGAAGATTTGAAGGTGCCATGGCGGAAGGTCTGAATGTCGGGGTGGCCCTCTTTAACTGCTTAGAAATCAAACGAGGGGTTCTCCCGGAAGGTGGGAGGCCGAGAGGTGCGCACGTTCTTCTGAGCCGTGGAACAGTGTTCTGCTCGGCTTCTCGGGCATCACCGCTATCGGTGGTGGTGGTGATGGTGGGTGCCGCTTGCTGTTGAAGTGCTGTCCGTGTTGGATTGGCAAGCTTGCAGGCCCCAGTGGAGCCCGAGAGCGCCTCAGACCAAGTCCAGGCAGGCTGCTCGCATGGTTACTTGAGCTCCCAGGACCCTTCGTTCATGAGAACGGAGTTGCTGAATCTGTAAAGAGGGCGGCGGCGGGGGGGGTTTTGGGCTAATCCCCAGCTAAATCGGTGGTGTGTTTGGGTCGTTTGGGACCATGGTCCTACACTCTGCACCCCCCCTTCGGGCTCCTGTTGGGCTTTCCGGGTGGGCTGTTTTCAGTCAGGGTTTGGGCTCAAAGGTTTGGGATCCTACCTCAGCCACGCTTTGAAGCTTCGGGTAGTCGTTTGGAGCGTTAAACTTGAGGGGCTGCGTCTGCAGCTTGGGAGAGGGCATTAACCTGCCCCCCCTCCTGGGCTGCATGGATCATGCATGTTTCTTCTGCCAGATTGTCGATGTCGAGTGCATTCCGGTGAGCTGCGTCATGGGCAAAGAGGACCCACTTCCCTTGTCCTAATTTGAACGCCCCGCCTCGGCATGGCCCGCCCAGCAACCCAAACGAGCTAGAGATCGCGGGTATGAAGCCGGAATTTGGTATCCCACTGTATGACTATATGGTCGGGAATTGCTCCCTAGTCCCGATGCACTGTCCGCTCTTGTCACTCATTCCAGGCAAAGCAGTGCCAAAATAAAGGTGGTGCGCTTTGTTGGGTTGGGGAGGGGATTAGAGGTGGGGTACCTGCTTTATGCTCACGGCCCGAGGCCTCGGCGGATTTGAGGAACAGGTATTCCTATTTGGCCACCTTAGAAGTTCGTGGTTGTGGCTCGCACCGTACTGAAACTATGGAACATGCAGGATGGTTTGCCAACCATTCGGGAGGACAGCTGGCTTGGCCCCAGAAGTACTGCAGATGCGATACAGTCTGATAGACCGATAGAATGCGACTTAGAATGCGGTAGAGCATCCAGTGTCCAGGCTTTGAATGATTGAGTTTTGGTTCATATCAGCTCAGATATGAGGATACGATTCTCCGGGATGCTACCGAGCCATCGGTGTTGCCAATGTTCTCAAAGGACTCGAGCATGATGTTGTCAGTACCGTCAGGCATGGACTGTTGAGCAGCATGATGAGCATGTCCAACAGGAAGCTTCGGAAGTGGCAGCAGATGAGAGATGCATGCCTACAGTGCTTTGGGCAGCAGATGATGTGCAGGGCATGCGGTTCCGCCACATTTCTGCCCCTCAGCCGACTAGATCTCTTTGAGATGATCTAGCAGCTGGTTTTGCTGAGGTGCGGTCAGGTGTTCTGGCTCCGCGCCCGAAGATGAAGTCTCAATCCCAGGCATCGGTCTCAAAGCTGTTGTGAGCACTATTTTGTGAGGGTTCGGAGAAGAACGTATAGCAGACGCATCGGTCATAGGAATGAGATTGCTGTTTTTCAGCACCTTTTTGATTAACAGCATTTTGCAGGCCAAGGTGCAAGATCTTCTTGCGGTTTAGGACGATGCCCGCTCCTCAGCTGGGAACTGCGAGGCTTCGAGATGCTAAATCTTGTAAGCCCTTTGTTTTTGATCTTTGTTTGAACTTGTTTGCGAAACTTGTGAGAGACTTGTCAGGTTGGAGACCTGAGCGGCAAGCTTTGAAGTCGCCCACCCTTTCAAGGGCAACGCCGCCTGGACGGTCAGAGATGCTGCCGGGCTGCGCGACAATGCTGTGATTCTTGCCAGGCTGCATGTTGGCGCATGAAAAATCTGTCTGGAGCAGATTTCATCAGCTTGCGCCGACATGAATCACGCGTGGGGTGGGTTTGCGAGCAGACCTCATCGCATTCTTGGCTTGCCTCTAGGCCTCTAGCTGCACTGAACCATAGGGCCAGAGAGCTTGTAACAGCCTTTTGCCGGATTATGCTTGATGACGGCGTTTATGTGGGCAACCTGCTCTGGCATCGTGCTATGGCTCCTAGGCTGCGATTTGCAAGGATTAGTACAATATCACCAGCGGTGAGCCAATCAACAGCTTCTTGTAAAATTCACTGCTGGCGCTCCAGCTGCTGTCTGCAGTAGCTGGAGGGCTTTCACGTTGCATGGCGTTGCACATAGGCAGGATCATGCAGGTGTGGTGGATGAGGTGCCCAGGGGCTGCCTTCGGAAGGTGCTGTTGGTTGGCAAAAGAGCAGCAGCGATCCTTGGGAGCATGATCTGCCTAACTTGTGCACGGGCAAAGCTCGCTGCGCAAAACCTATGCAGAAAGCAGACGCAACAATGAGAGTGCGCTGCCGTTTATCATGCTGTTTGGTTCCTGATACCTTCATGCTGTTTCCTGTGACGAAGCCATTCTCAGCTCACACAGCCTGTCAGGAACACTGTCACAAGCTGCATTAAGCAGTTCGTTGACGGCCAGCACGATTTGAAAGTCAACGCCTGGTTGCCACGTGATGTTGTATGGCCGTGTCATGTGGCCACCACTGGTGCGCACTGGATTTCAATGCCTCTTGTGTACAGCAGCCCTGAGCAGCCTTGCTCAGTCGCCTAAAGTTGTGAGGGCTGACAAGTCCGGCAATACCGCATATAAATATCTCAGAGCAACTCATCCAAGAACCTTGTCAACACAGTGTGTGGCACACAGCTTCTAATTGCGGATTTGCCTTACTTGCCAGCTCTCTGGAGGTAGTTCGGTAGGTGGCCACGGTGGCTAAATGGAACAAACCAAGAAAGTTCTCTCATCTGTGCATCTTTGCTTTTGTGAGAATCTGTTCGCTCCAGTGGCCTGGTCACTGGCAATGCCCCCTTAGAAGTCCTAGAAGTCCTCCCCTTAAGTCTGCTATGTCTGCTCCTCCGCCTGCCAGGCCAGCCGCGAAGGCGGAGGCGCAGAAGCAGAGGCGGAAGGCGCAGAGGAAGGCGCAGAATGATCTTTCTGCGATGCTCTGTGATGCTCTGCGAATTCAAGCGAATCTTGACAGAAAAAATCTGCTGCCATCTGCTCTAGGCGGCTTCGACTTGGAAGGAGAACTGGACATGGACTTGGGCCTGGGCGGAGATGACGATGGGGAGGCTGGGTTGGCACTGGCAAGGTGCATGAACGATGGTCGCGACTTATTTATGCGCAGCTGTCGCATGGCATTTTCATGCAGCGTGTATCGGTGAGTCAGCATGACCCGGGTTGCGTCAGGGTGGCTGTGAGCAGCAATAAGCTGCAATGAGAGCAGCAATGCGCTGCAATGAGCTGCACAGGTAGTTAGCTGATGCTAGCTGATGTCGGCCTGCTAGTTCGTCTCTAAGCCCGAAAGGGCGCGAAAGACTGCCATGAAGGCAGACTTGGTTAGTGCCATGGGCAACATGCCTACGGATGTTCTGGTGATGCCGCTTATGCGCATGCTGTTTGTACATATGTTGAGGCACCATGTGCTGCAAGAACACATTGGTGTGCAGGTGTTCTGCAGAGTGGGTGGAAATGGAGGAAGAAGCAGCGCATTGGTGGTCCAAGATCGAGGGTGAAGGTGTCAGTGTCGTCGCAGATTATCCCATTATTCCAAAGCTTTCAGGATCACAGGCCACGTAGCGTTGCATGGGGTCGAGCAATTGAACTGTGGCCAGCGTCGGGGTCCAGGGACCACCATCAGCACCGCCGCCATGACGGCGGCAGGACAGGCCATGGTGGCCGTAGGCCCAGGCTGAGACGAAAGCACTCACAGCAGACAATCCAGACAAGGGCCAGCAGATTTTACATCAAGGGAAGGTTTCCGTTTGAAAAATTTGCTTGCAGCGCACTAGGTCCTGGTACCCATCCGACAGAAGTCCGCCATGACCTTCGTCAACGCTGGGGACTCAGCTTCGGCTGCCATCTCGGTATTTGACCATAATGCTATTCGAACTGCAAGCAACTGAGGACAAGGATGCCGAGCTCATGGGCCTCGTCGATGAAGAGAAGGAGCGCCTGGCAGGGCACCTGGCATGGGAGGCGACGAAACGACCAAGCGAAGTCCAAGTTCTCATGCAGTCTAAACATGCACAAGCATGCTCAACAAATGATCAACAAGTTTAATACAACAAGCGTTGAGACGCGCAACAAGGCAGCCTGTGAAGGCTCAAGAGCTGTCGATGTGAGTTTACATAGGTCTTCTCGTTGGCATCCGCTCGTGCGATACAAAGCTATTTATGAGCTGGCGTCGCTGGTGGCTCACCTTGCAGTTCTCCGAGCGCATCTGGGCTGCTAGTCATGTTGGCCCATGTTGTCTCTCTTCGCATGGTCTCCGTGGCTGCGTGCTGCCCTTCGTTTGATGGGCATTCCTGCCCGTGCTCGTTTGAAGCGTGGCCTTCAGTGGGTCGTTACGACTGGTTCTCCTTCGTTGCGGCGACACGGTTGGATGTTGTAGCTGCCTTGGGTTTGGCATCATTGCTTTGGTGGTGTCGCTGATCTCGCCGCTGGTCGGGTTGATGCTTGAAGGCGGCATGTCGGACGTCAAGTTGGGCGTGCTTGGGGCAGTTGGTCAGCACCATGCCTCGGGAGGCGTGATGTTGATATTGCTGTCCACAGGGCTCACAGCAATCCTTGCGCATACTGTTGCTTGTGGTTCCTCATGGAGCCCTGCCACTCTTGCTGGGACTTGAGCTCATGTTGTGTGGCCAGTGTCCACACAGGCGGTTGGTGCCAGTTGTCGCCGTCCTTGTCTGGCTCTTTGTGACAAGTGGGGAATGTTGATTTTGATTCTGTTCGATGGCTGTTTGTGTTTTAAGAAAAGGCCTGAGCAGCTTGTCGTCCTTGCGTGGATTGTTGCTGTTCTTCTGGGCTAGTGGCTTGCCATAGATTCAAGGCAGTGTGAGAGTCTGAGTTTCTGCCGATGTGAGTTTACGTAGGTCTTCTCGTTGGCCTCCGCTCGTGCCTTGTCCTTTTTGGGGTCTTTGCACTACGGAAGTTTCGCGAGCTGGCGCTAGCATTGGTGTGTTATGCGAGATGACAAGGGCTGGATCTGCAGGGAGCAAATGATTGGCTCTGCAGCTCATCCGATTTTGCGAGCTCCCTGCCAGTGTTCTGATGCCGAGGCGCAAGTGGACAAGGACAAACAGAAAGAGATGCAGCTCAAGGCATGTGCGTCCTTTTCTCCCTATAATATAGAAAGAGTGACACGGTTTCAGATTAGCTCCTTTGTGTTTTCTGAAGTGAGTGCATCTTGCTTCTGGCAGCCGGGCAGGCCTCTGACTTGGCAGACCTCCGTGCAGCACGCAAGGACACTTTTGCAGAGATGGAAGTGCCTGGAGTTGACTTGCGAATTCCAGTAGGTCTCAGTAAGTTGCATGGTGAAGCTGGACGTGCAGGAGCTGAAGAGGTCCCGCCAGGAAGAGGACAGAGCACGGAAGGAGGCGCTTTATGAGAGCATGGCTAAGCCTGGAAAAGAAGAAGAGTTCTAAGAGAGAGCCTGGGAGCCGACAACCCTTCTAAAAGCTATTTTCGAATACAACTTGACAGTTTGTAGCCCGCGTGCCGTCTAACAAACAAGTCAGCATCAGCGTCAGCACTCGTAAGCGCCACGCGACGCGCAACGGGGCCTTTCCCAACGCCTGTTTGCTTTTCTTTGAGGCTGCACTAATGGCCGGAGTCGCCTGTCGCTGGGTCGATGATGCGCCTCAACCCCCCACCCTCATCCGAGAATCATGGGATGATGATGCTTACTTTGGGGACGGCGCGGGGGTTCAAAAGGGAGAAACGGTCGAAACACGAAACCAAGGTGTTTGCGAGGCTTTCTGCGCTGTCTTGGGCTTTTCACCGCTTGGGTGGTTGGTGTCGAGGAAGGAGCTGGAGGAGGAATGCCAAGACAGGGGGGTTTGATGGTGCAAGCGGGAAGGGCAACTGGCGAGGATTTGCGAGAAAGGATGGGGTCGGTCAAAAAACTCGGGTTTCCACTGTTTCCACGGCTCACAATATTGTCCCCTTCTCTCTATCTGACCTTCTTTCGTAACTGACATGCTCCTTTCATACGCTCGGGGAAAACTATTGGCTGTAGATGGCTGTATGTAACATGCAAAAAATCTAGCAAATGCGGAACTACACAACTGCTTGACCTCTGCGTGCAATCTTCCGGAACTGGAAACTATTTGTTGTTCCTCATTTGACGTTGCTGCGATGCCCTTGCAAGGTAGGTGTGGGCTTGCCAGGGTGGATTCACGAATGTCTAGATTCCGGTGAGTTTTGCAGCTGCGAGACACCCACTCCGTAGCGTGCGGGCTTGGACCCCTGGACCGATTTCTCTCAACAAGGTCATACAAGGTCGTCAAGTGAGCAACGCACAGTTTGAAATCTTCTGCAAAGTCCATGCACGTGCTCCCTGAAATGTAGCGAGAACATGAGAGAACAGCGGATCAACCGCTTTACCGAGATGATTTCTAGACTTGAAGCAGGCACTTAAGCAACAGAACCGGAAGCGTTCGAGAGGCTCTTCTGAAGCCGGCCAAGCCTGAGAAAGGGGCACCTGCGATACCAAGCTTCATGCCGCTTGCCCGCAATTGCACCGCAAGGGGTTCTCCGCATCGCCTACCAAGCTTCAAGTTTGATTAGATGCCGCAGTTCGCAGTGGGCTGCACAATCTTGATGCCTATGGCAATCCTATGGCACAATGACAGGAAGGTCAAAGCCGCCAAAGCGACCGACACAGAGAAAGCCCGAACTGCAGGCTCGTATCACATGTTCTTGCAAGCGCGAGCGAAGCTTTTCGGTGTCTCAGCATTGCCTGAGCTGTTCGCCCGAGGTATGTGTTAGTCGAAGGTTGTGGAGTAGACTCTTGCTGAGAAGCACCGCTTCGTATGTGTCATCGCTTCTGTAGGAGAGGATCAGGCAGATCCTGCAGAGCCGGATGCAAAGCAGGCCAGAATAGAGGCCCGTGGGAGTCTGAATAGCATTGGCCCCGCTTCTGGTTCGCAAACAAGACCTGGCTCAGGTCCCACGTGAAGTTGTGCCTTCTGGCTTTGGGGGCCTCGGCAACTATGCGCTTGTACCTCATGGCAGAGATGCGCAAAAATCTGCTTCAATTGTTTCCTGGGCTGTGCGTCCTTTGCTTCTGCCGAGGTCTGACAGTGAGGAGGACGAGGCTGAGTCCAGTGAGGACGACGCTGCATGACCCGGCTTTAACAAGCCTGACACGCACTCAAGCCAGCAAAGTTAGGCTATCTGGAGCAGTGCGTGAGCAGCACGGTCTCACTCTCACCCGTGTCACAAGCAACAAAACTCCCAGAAGATGAGGTGATGCAGGGCGCAAAACGCCGCACATGTCCCATAAATAAGTACCAAACAACCACCAAATCATAGGGCTTGATCCCTATCCTCGTCCCAAGCTGCCTGTACGAGCCGTGCCAACTCCACACTGGGTGAGAGTTAAGAGTTTTAAGTTTGCGTGCAAGGTTGTCATTGCTTTTGTCTGTGTCTTAATGCGCATCACTACACCGCGTTGATAGGCAAGGCGGGCAAAACTTCCCGGCGCTGGGAAGCAGAGACACGCAAAGCGCAAGTGAGAACTGCGACTGGTGGGAGGCAACGAGGGCGCGGCGCGCATCTTCCCACCAGGGGAGGGGGATGCCCCGCGCGCCACAGCTCATTGGCATGCGCAGAAAGCACCCCCAAGGCGCCATGCAGCGTAGGCAAGGCGACATCGCCGACTGTGGCGCGCATTGCAACCAGGCGTCTGGCCCTGGTGCAGTGACCATGCGTTGATCAGCCGCTTCGGCCGCATTAGCCCGCGTAGTGCCGGGACGCGGTTGCCGGCCACAAGCTCATCTCGAGGTGCAAACTTGCGGCGTCATGCGGCGTCTGTCTTGATGAAGCGCCGGCTGTCGGCCTTGGGGTCCTCCAACCCGTGCGCACTGGATTCGAGCGCCGTCACAACTGCCTGCCCCGTCCACGGTGCGCCATTCTGTAGCCGACTATGCGATCCGCACGACATTCACCTCCAGCAACATCAGCAACGCGCCTGAGCCCCCGCCCCACTAGCAAACGTTCATGTCTTATGTTGTCGGCGCGTCGCGGCAAGGACATCCAACTATGGGCGAGCAGCTGAATGCTGTGGGTGAGCAGATGAAAGCGGGTTTCAATCGCAGACCTCGTGTTGCCACGACTGCGAATAGTGCGAGAACGCCCAAGAAATCGCATGAAGAGAGATAGGTGGATAAAAACATTTTTTTTTCCGCAGCATGTCATCGCGGCGGGGGTCGGGGGTCGGGGGGACGAGCCTCACCGCCGCGGCGGCACGCGGCTGGCGAGTGGGCGGCGGTCCCAGCGGGCATCGGCCAGGACCTTGCGCCGCGCTGCTGCGGTGACAGGGCGGCCCGGCTCGACGTCCATCCGCGGGTGGGGCTCGCCCGCGCGTGTGAGCGGGGAGACAAGCGTGGCGTCGAACGCGAGCTGCGAGCCGTGCCAAAAGGACAGGCCGTTGCAACAACTTCTACGCGCCTGTCGTCAGCGATGGGCACGTCGATGTTCATATCGTTGCGGGCGACACGCGCACCGGCCTCGCGGCAAACCCGCCTCAAGCGGCCTTGCGCGCGCGGCGAGCACGCCGCTGGTAGCGCAAGCGGCGCGGTGGTCCCCGAAAGCGTCGAGCCTGCCACGACAGCTGCACGCGCGGGGGGCCGAGCAGCAGGGGCAGGCGTAGGCGCCCGCAGCAGCAGAACGCGGAACTGCAAAGTGTGGCCCAGCCTGCGACAGCAGCAGCGCAACGGAACGCAAGGGTGAGGTCAGAAAGATGCGTCCCGCCAGTAAGACAGCTGTGTTGGGCGCCGCTCCTGACCCGGGGAAATGAGGAATGAGTGATGTAGGTATCCTGGCATGGCGGATGTCATCGGATGTCGTGGGCATGCCGGCGCTGCGCGCGTATGCTGGATTGGGAGCTTGCTGGCTCGCTATGCCCAGACTGCCGAGGAACGTTGGTTTTGGAGTTTGACGCTACAGCCGGTTTCGGTCATCTGTGCTGCGTTGGCAGCATACGTCGCGTGGCCACATCGAGCATATGTAAATGATGAGCGTATACTTTGCGATGTCCCGCTGCAAAACACGCAGTAAGAGTGACCACAAGGCAGACCCGCGGACCAACGGTTGGTGGGAGGAAGCCAGGCGACTGTTGGTTGCATCCGATCCTGTCTCCCCGCGGTTGCTGGCAGCGGCTATCCATCGTGCTGCTGAGGCTGCCTGCACACGGCCATCGCATTCCCGGCATTCTAGAACGTTTTTCCCGAAAGCTTCAGCGAAGGGTTCTTCGGAAAAAAACGTTAGCCCTACCACACTACACTACCATCACCACACTACAATTACCACACTACCATCACCACACTCCAATCACCACTACCATCACCACACTACCATCACCACACTCCAATCACCACTACCATCACCACACTACCATCACCACAGTACCATCACATCACCTCCTCTATTAAATTCTCTCTTATTTCTTAGGCTGGGGTGGGTTTCGCCGCGGCTAGCGCGATGCACCCCTCTGCGGGGATCGTGCGTGTCGGAGCGCTCCCCCGCTGTGCGTTTTTGCGCATGTGGATTTGTCCCCGCGCACCCTCTGCGGGGATCGTGCGTGTCGGAGCGCTCCCGCTGTGCGTTTTTGCGCATGTGGATTTGTCCCCGCGCACCCTCTGCGGGGATCGTGCGTGTCGGAGCGCTCCCGCTGTGCGTTTTTGCGCATGTGGGTTTGTGCCTGCGCACCCTCTGTGGGGATCGTGCGTGTCGGAGCGCTCCCGCTGTGCGTTTTTGCGCATGTTATGCATGTTACAACTTGCTTCGTACATCCTCTGCGGGGATCGTGCGTGTCGGAGCGCTCCCGCTGTGCGTTTTCGCACATTTTACAACTTGCTTCGCACACCCTCTGCGGGGATCGTGCGTGTCGGAGCCTTCCTCACAAATGTAGTACGCCGCGGACGCCCGGAGTTGCCGTAGCTGGAAAGTCGACTTTTGGTAGTACAAACGTAGTACGCCGCGGACGCCAGGAGCTGCCGTAGCTGGAAAGTCGACTTTTTGTAGTAGAAACGTAGTACTTGTAGTACAAACGTAGTACGCCGCGGACGCCCGGAGCTGCTGTGGCTGGAAAGTCGACTTTTTGTAGTGCAAACGTAGTACGCCGCGGACGCCCGGAGCTGCCGTAGCTCGAAAGTCGACTTTTTGTAGTACAATCGTAGTACGCCGCGGACGCCCGGAGCTGCCGTGGCGCGAAAGTCGACTTTTCCCGAAAGCTTCAGCGAAGGGTTTTTCGGAGAAACAAAAACGTTAGCCCTACCACACTACCACACACTCGCACTACCACACACTCACACTACCATCACCACACTACAATCACCACACTACCATCAAAACACTCCTACCACACACACACACTACAATCACCACACTACCATCACCACACTCCAATCACCACACTCCACACATCACCTCCTCTATTAAATTTTCTCTTATTTCTTAAGCTGGGGTGGGTTTCGCCGCGGCCAGCGCGATGCACCACTCTGCGGGGATCGCGCGTGTCGGAACTCTAGGGCTTCGAAAACCTCGCAAACACCGTGGGCGCGGGCGCGAAACTCTGGGGTTTCGAAAACGTCGCAAATACCGTGGGCGCGGAACTCTGGGGCTTCGAAAACGTCGCAAATACCGTGGGCGCGGAACTCTAGGGCTTCGAAAACGTCGCAAATACCGTGGGCGCGGAACTCTGCAGATGGGGCTTCGAACACGTCGTAAATACCGTGGATTCTATTCCATCTTCTTTGCGTTTCGCGTCCTTTTCGCTGTCGACGCGACACTTGCTTCCTATCCTACTACACCACACCACGATCACCGCACTGACAACACAACCAACTCTACGTGTCAGTTGATATCTTCGCACTGATTGCTTTCGGGATAATCGGTGTCTTGTTTCACCCCCAAAGGCCGTTTGGCAAGAACTTCGCCAAGTAAGCCAAGTACCGACTCAATGTGACCCGCACCTCGTCCCCAAAGACGAGCGTGCCTTTTCCATTCCATTGCCAAAGGGTTGTTGCAGTGGCTGGCAGATGACAAACGCACGTTCTCCCATCGTGAGCTAGAGGGATCTGTGGAGAAGTGTGCCCGCTGCTTTAGCACGCGGCTGCGCATGGCCCAACGCAGAGGCGATGTTGTCTGCCTGGCTTAGTACCTTGAAGAGGGATCTTCGGGGGAAGCGTTTTTTGCATGGGCCTCAGCGAGGATGGCACACTGTCTTGCCTTTATGCCGGTTTTCCGGTGGCGGGCCTGCCTAGTTGTGGTTCCCTGCAAAATGGTGGACAAACCCTCTTGCTTAACCGGGCTTGCCGACCTCAGAGCGTTGTCTTGGGGTTGGGGCGCGTGCCGGACGTGAACTCAGGGGGCAATGACGGTCTGCTGCACGTGACACCTCGTGCAGTGAGCCAGCACTCACTCACTCACTCACTCACTGACTCACTCATTCACTCACTCATTCACTCACTCACTCACTCATCATATCCAAAATACCCAAAGAGAGAAATTTCGCCCCCATGATTTTCAAGGAGTCTTGTCCAGCTTGCAGGCCGCGTGGCTCCTGCTCCTGTTCAGCGCTGCGCCACGGGCCAACCACCTTCTCCGGGCCCTCCCGCCTCACCAGCCCGGGGTATGCGCGGGACCACGACCCAGTGCCTGACCCGCCTCTTGCAGCTGGAGGCCGCGCCCCTGTTTGACCCCAGCCTGCGCACGGCGCAGCTGGCCATGCGGTTTGGGGGGCTTGGTCTGCGCTCCGCCGTTGCTGCCCGCCAAGCTGCCCATTGGGCCTCCTGGTGTGACACGCTGCCTGTTATCCACGCCCGAGCGCCGGTAGCTATACCCCCTCCCTTAGCGTCGATATCCGGGGGAGGGAGTCCCAAATTGGAGAAAAATTTCTTCTTCTGGGTTTGGGGGGAGGGGGGAGAAATTAGAAGAAAATGCTCTCGGTGGGGGGGGGTAAGAAATTAGAGGAGAATAAGAAGAAACATATCATATACATATGAGCAAAGTGAGACCTCAAGAGGATCCCCAGCCGAAAAACACCGCGGACACACCCCCCCCCGTCACCAAGAAATTTCTTGACCCCCCCCCTCCAATTCTATTTTCTTCTCCTCCAACCCCCCCCGCCCACTCCCTCTGAAGGGAGCTGCAGACCGGCTGCTCCATGCCTTGCAGGGCCATGTGGCCTTGCCCGCGGCGGCCGCTGCCAATCAGGCACGCGATGCCCTTCGCGCCACCGGCTACGACGCGCCGAAGTGGGCCTCCTTCCTTGACACCTCAGACGCCCCGCCAGCGCGCGGCTGCGCTTTCGAGCCTAATCCCCTCCGGAGATGGCAGCGCCAAGCTGCCAGAGCGTGTGACGAGAGCGCGCGTGCGAGACGCATCTTTCTGACCTCGCGCGCTGCTGCTGTCGCAGGCTGGGCCACACTCTGCCCGAGCCATCACCGTCGCGCCCACGCACGAAGCCGTGTCCTTTCCGAATGCGCAGTTCCGCGTTCTGCTCCTGCGGCGCCTGCGCCTGCCCCTGCCACTCGCCCCGACGCTTTCGGGGACCACCGTGCCGTGCGCGCTACCAGCGGCGTGCTCGCCGCGCGCGCAGGGCCACCTAAGCGCGCCGTTGCATGGGTTTGCCGCGAGGCCGGTGCGCGTGTCGCTCGCAACGTCCGCGTCGCCGACATGAACATCGACGTGCCCGTCGCAGACGACAGGCGCATCGAAGTCATGGGTAGTCGTGGCCAACGGCTTGTCCCTTTGGCACGGCACGCAGCGCGCGGTTGACGCGCCACGCTCGTCTCCCCGCTCGCACGTACGGGCGAGCCCCACCCGCGGGCTGATGTCGAGCCGGGGCGCTCTGTCACCGCAGCAGCGCGGCGCAAGCGACACGGCACGTACCCCGAGCTCCTCCGTGCCCGGCTGTGCCGCCTGGTCGTCATTGGCCTGGAAGTGGGTGGGCGCATTGGCACCGAAGCAGCCACTTTCCTGCGCTTACCATCCCAGCGCACCTCCGACCAGCGGCTCAGGCCGCCTGGGTGCCGCAATGGGAGGCGCTCTTGGCCGTTGCGGCCCAGCGCGCGTGAATGCACCACTAATGCACCCAAGCGGAGGCAGTGAAATCAAAATCAAAGCAGCTTGACTGACCCTGCAGGCACATCGACGGCACTTCGTGTTGGCTCGCAGCTCGCAATCGGTTTCATTTCTGTGTGCGCCCTCGACGAAACCGCGTTGGAGGGAAGATAACATGGGTGATTGCTAACGCCTCGGCAAGGCGAAAAAATGCGACCACCCCTGGGTGCACGCTAGATGAATGTCGCGGCAGCGCGCCAGCAATCAGAGGAAGAGTGCCGCAGTGCCGCTTCCTCCTCGGACGTCGATGCCAACGACAACGATGCGGCCGCGGGGCGCGCCTGAGGAAAGTGAAAACTTTGTCATTGTTCGAGTGCGGGTTATGTCATGTGGCAATCTTGTGCTTTTCTTGTGCTTGACTTCGGGAAAAGACCGATGCTCATTTCGAAACAAAACATGTTGACCATCTTTGTCTACAACATTCAACAACAACAACAACAAATAACTTGACACACCCCTATCAAATCCATTGAGTCTTTTTTCCAGATTGCATCTCGGCTCGAATTCAGCCAGTCGAAATGGCAACGGCTGGAGGTGAACACGAGGCTGAGGGATTGCGGTTGTAGGATGCAGCAGAATGAAAAAACGACATAAAAAATCAGAATGAAAGCGTTGCACGAAAGCAGTGCTGTCAAGTTGCGGGTGTCCCGAGCAAGGATGCCCACGATGGTCCGCGGCTTCATGGATGCGGTGAGGTTACTTTGCCAACCCCAAACTTTAAGACCAAGCAGTCGCACTTGTGGAAACATGTCGGGTTGTCGAACACGGAGGGTTTATTTTGAGTGCTTCCAAGGCCAAAGAAGTTTGGGCGAGAGTGTTGCAAGACAAGTTGGACGTGCAGAGTAAAGACTTTGCCAAGTACGTCCAATCAATCGTGTCTCACGAGCTGGACACCCGCTTGGATCGCTTGTGGGATCGCTTGCGACGGTTGCATGCGTGCGGACATGACAGTGGTTCGGACAGTTCAAGCAGTTCCGACAGGCCAGTGCTTGATTTGCCAGAGAATCTGCTTGGTTTTGTGGCTCCGCACGTGCCGCACGGTGACCCGCATGGTGACCCGTTACTGGAAGAGGACACAGGATGCACAGGACAAGGCGCCCGCCCAGGCTCGGAGCTTCCGGAGCTTCCCAGGCTACGCCGGCGAAGCGCAATGGGAGGAAATGGTCTTGGAAGGACGTCCCAAACAGGCGCGGCCGAGATTCGGCACAGTCTGTTGCATTCCGTTGCAGAGCTTGATGCCCAACATGCTCAACAAGCGTTTCGCCAATCAGTTCTGGCCATGCTGGTCTCGCCCACATTGAACCAAACTGACAGCTGGGCTGTCGAACATGAACGCCCAACCCGTTTTATGAAGCTACGAAGCACTCTGCAGCGCAAGGTCTTGGAAACAACCTGGTTCGAAGGACTTGTGGTTTGCTGCATCGGATTGAATACGGTCCTGATTGGAATTGCGAGCGATTGGAACCTGCAGCACATACACGAGGAAGAGCCCAAACATTTCCGAGTCGCAGAGAGAGTGTTTGCGGTCATTTTTGCATTGGAGCTGTTTGCTCGAATGTTTGCGTATGGACCAGCTTTCTTTTGGAGAATGGTTTCATGGCCCGCAAGCTTGATCAGCGTTTTCTTCTGGATTTTCCGTGGCAGCACAAGCCTAGCACAGCAACATGCGCAATGATGCCAGCGAAGTGCAGTAAGGATTGGCAGTGGAATTACTTCGATGTGGTGATCGTAAGCGTGCAGCTTTTTGAAGAGGTCTCCATGCTTCTAGGGGACGATTATCAGGGGGAGATCCAGCTCAGCTCATCGTCAAGTGCTATCCGGATTATACGAACGTCTCTTGGCAAAACGCTGGCAGTCACCACTAGCTGCCTTGGTATTGGCCAGGACTGTATGGCCACATTTTGTTCGTGGTGTGTTGTGCGCTTTTGCCTGAGACATGGCTGCAATCGTTCAAGGTTCCGGCTGTTGCGAATCCTCCGGATCGTGCGCTTGCTTCGTTTTATACAGGACTTCTTGGACAGCGTGCCCCCTTTCAGGGATGTGCAGAACACTGGCGTGAAAAAGACATACAAATCATGAAACACGTGTGCGGGCAGTCCATGGAAGTCTGCTGCGGCAAGGAGCTCCGATCCATGCTTTTTTCAATCTTCTCTACTCTGAGGGCGCTGGGATGGACAATGGTGCAACGTGGCTGCAGATGTGTTTCCTTTGAAAACCTTGCATCGCTTGGTAAACACACGCTCTTGTTCTCGTAGGCACTGTTGCCATCTGTGTTTGGCCATCAGGCTTTTGGCCATGATCATCTTTGCGGCAGCAGTGTTCTTCGCGCAGTGGTTTGGATGCATCACATTTGAGTGCCGTACTTTCGAACCACACGAACCACAAAGTTGACCGCAAATTCTTTCAAGCAATCCTTGGAGAACCTGCCCGCTGTTCGAGTAGAAGGGCCATCTTCCTGCATGCAAGTTTGGTTACGTTTCCGTATGCGTGCTGCATGGTGGCATGCGCCACTAGTATCACTAGTAGGCGCTCTACCTAGCGCTTGAGTTGAAGATCATCACAAGGTTTATCATCGATGCCGGAGCCATGAACAAGAACCTGATGCTGGAACACCCGGAGCTGCAGCACTACTTTTCAGATTTGTCCCGCCGCTTGCCGGAAGTTCGCACAGAAAGTATACTTCTACCATGTCATGCCCCGCCATTGGGCCGACGACTTGAGCGCATGTGGCTCATAGTCCAGGTGCAGCCGAAGTGCCTGGGGAATTGATCTGTCAATGTCAGTCCTCTAGTCACTCTAGTCACTTTCTGTTGTCTTTAGTAATCAGTAATCAGTGTTGGCATGCTGGTGCTTTGCATTGTGCATGTTTGGATGAATCAAGTTTGGTGGGCTGAAATCAGGATGATGTGGTTTTGTTCCGAGACGTTCTGAGTTCGTAGGTCAAAGCAGATGACCATTGTTTTGCACATTCGGGGAAAAGAGGGATCACGCTTTTGCACTTTGACATGTTGCATTTGCTTTGCTTTGCTGTTCCACCTTGCGCACAACTGAGGCACAATGCTGTCCCTGTACCAGTCAATGACGGGAGGACTTAGCTGGGACCTGGCGTTGCGACCGTTGGTGTCTCGAGCACATAATTCAGGCTTTCTGTTGCAAGCGGTGTTGTACAGACAAAACAAGCTTGTTTTGGAGTTTCTTGAGCTTCGCTGTACACTCGCCTTGTGCATCCTTACTCAGGCTGATACAGCCGGCGCGTGGATTGGGATCCCATACGCCGCTTGGATTCGTTAAGGGTTTGTCCACACAACGCTGTGCACCCGCCGCTTCCCTGTTTGGAGCAGTGCCTAAACGGCAATTGACGGGTGGGCAGGGCCAAAGCCAAGCAGGCTTTGAAGCTTAAAGCCTCTGCCAGCAAGGCTGCGTACACATAGGTGGGGAGAATGGCAGGGTTGAGGGGTCGCCTCGAGCGGCGCTGCGTCGCCAGCCCATTGGCATTTGGCATTGGGTCATTTTGTGGTTGCTCTTGCTGTGCTCATGACCAGGCCCTCTATGTGGCCTTCGTGGTGCTCGCACTCATGAACATTGCCACAGGGATGTTCGTGCAAGCATCTTTGAGTGCCCATGAACGACAGAGGGAGAAGGCACCAAGATTGGAGTGTTGGAGTGGATGACTTGTTCGGGATGGCTTGCGTGTTTAGAGCGCGCGGGCTATGTGCCGAAACCCTGTTTTTGGTTTCGAAAGCTTGAGCCGGTGAGCTGCTGAGACGCCAGGAGATTCGAAGGCAACTTCGACTGTTGTTTCGCACGGCTGACCTTAACAATGATGGTGACCTCACAATGGAAGAGTTTGCTGGCTGGCTGCAATGTTTGATGGCATTCGCAATTCACCTGGTCTTTTTGTCACATCAAAGGATCGCTTCTTAGACAACGAAGACAAGTCAAAGTACTTCCTCAGCGCCTTGGGCATGGATGCACAAGAAGCGCGAGGCCAGAAGTTTTGCGCATGACTGCGGGATATCCTGGTGTTGCAGTCTGTCTTTTGTGTCGGTCACGGGTGCGACAAACTGATATGGACAGGTTTGTTCCTTCTGCTGGACACCGCTGAGTGCTCAAAGGTGAGCTTTGATGAACTTTTAGATGGAGTCTTGCGCTTGCGGGGTCCTGCCCAAGCCATAGACCTGGCCACGTTGATGTACTGCAACAAACGAGTCTTGTCTGCGAGGCAGCGCCAGTTTTGTTTGCAGCCTGGTCGTTCTGCCCACAACAAGTTTGACTCGGCCTCGCACTTTATCCGAGGCATGATTTCGTGGCTACGAGAGAGACTGAGTGGATTACAAGACTCCGTGGACATGCTCCACGGGTTGCATGGATCCTCTAGAGTGTCAAGGCCTCGCAAAGTGAGTGTATACGCCAGCTGGAAGGAAGTTATGACACGAGTTGCAGATGACTAATTCATGCAGCCGCCGCCCGCCCTTCTTTTACTGAATTTATCTGATTTCGATTGGTCATGGTAAACATGCGGCATATGAGTTTTCTTGCGGGTTTCGCCTCGTCGACTTGCACGAGTCGCTCTCCGACTTTTGATCAGCGTGTGCAGGGCATGCTGCTCAAGTTGTTCCAAAAACAGGTCATTCTGTACGACTGTACATAGACCATGCAAGTTTACTACAAATTCGTCTTGCTCGCTTGAGCCTGTCTGTATCTGGGAATCTGGGATCGACACATGAGCGCAGTACACATTTCTTGTTACCCCAGAACTTGACTTGACTTTCTTGACTTAGACTTATTTCAGCAGAAAATCAAAAGCATAGCAGGTCGCCGGCGCTGAGACATGGCCATTTCACATTTTTCTGTGACGTTCTTGCAGCTGAAATGGATCAGGGCCGTAAGAGGAAGCACAGTAAATGACCACTGGAGCCACGGAGCCATCCAATTTCAGCAGCAGCCTGGCCATGCCTGGCCTAGTTGCGTGGTGCATGCCAATTCATTTGCTGTGTTCGATGCATCATGATGCATCGCCAGTCAGAAGCAGAACAAGCGTGATCAAGCGTGTCTCTCTATGGCAGTTTGGTGATCAGTTGTGTCGGTGTCTGACTTGCCGCTCCTGCAGTGTAAGAGCTGATGTGCTCAAGGAGTTGATCCCCAGCACCATCCGGCCCCCGGAATCTCAAAAAATGCCTTCCCAGTGGCACGAATCGTCACTTGCTAGATCTTGCTAGGCCCCAATAGGCCTCAATAGACGAAAGGCTTCACACCTGCCACACTCAGATTCGGCCGAGCCACTGGGCAATGCTGAATCCTGACGCTGCAAGTTTGTTGGACGGGTTTTTTTGTTTGCAGGAAAGCCCTCATACATGTGATGTTTTAAGGTTGCCTCAGGAACATGTGCGACTTCTTACTAAGATTTTCCTATTCTTGTGCGTGAACGCTCCTAGCGCAGTAAGACTAGTGCGACCTGCTGGCTCGCTGCTTTCACATTATGCGGGCACAGGCGCAAACCCACATGGAACCATTAATTGAAACTGGCCTACTTGCCCCACTTATATAGTCGCTTGGAATATGGCATTACCTCTCAAGACCTGTGTGGTTGAATGATCAGTGCCTGCGTTTGCAGCGCTGGATAACTCCTTTACTAGCTACTTTCGCGGGCGGTTATGGATTTGGACTTCGACTGTTCTAAATCTTCACATGCATGGGTCTTGATGCATTTGCCACCATGCGTTGAGTGCCCTGTATTATGCCACGTGTAGGTTAATGCTGTAATTTTGCAGGAGGGCGATCAACATCATACAGTGGTCCTCGTCGGAGTTACTGGTGATGGCAAGAGTTCCACAGGAAACGCGCTGCCTTTTGCCAGCAAGAGACACAAGGAGAGACACCAGGTATCTTGCAGCCAGGGGGATTTGCGGTAGATCGTCAGATTGAAGCTGTTGACACTGCAGCTTTCCTCGCTGCTAATTTCCTTGCATGATATGCTGAGTTTTGAACGTACCACGAAACTTCAGACTTCATTGCAAAACCGACGCGGTCGACACCGCATCAAAGTGGCTTTGCCTCGCTCTCGAGACTGTTGTGGCGATATGCAGCAGCTGTTTCAGAATTTTTCAAAGATGCGCGCAAACTACCGTGTCTTCAATCATGCAGCGAAGAGACTGCGGACAGTCGCAGGCGCACGAGTCTGCTTCTGGGCCGAAACTGGAGCTCAACGCAAAGCCAACGGCAACCCAACGGATCCCAACGGGAACAATGGAAACCTGCCTCTGCTTGAGCATTGGGACGACGGTGGCTGAGAGCCAGGGAGACGAAAAGCTGGCGGTAAACAGCAAGCGATAAGAAGCGGTAAGCAGTCTCGTGTTCGTGACGGTGATGGCTTCTTGGCTGTGTGTTCAGGTGTGGGCAGTCCGTCTTCAAAGTGTCTGGTGGCCTTCATTCAGAAACGCAGGCTGGCTCTGCTGGCACTGCTGCGGCTGCGGTCAAGAATGTACGGAGATGTACGGAGCGCAAGATTTTGCCAACAACAGCCTGCACACAGGAATTAGCTCATGCGGATTACCTTCGCGGCGGCAGCTTCTGGCGAGTCATCGACACTGTCGGCTTGAATGACACGGGCCTCTCGCAAACAGAGGCCTCGCTCGAATGCCCAGTGCACAGAGCATCGAGGAGCAGTGTGAAGAGCCAGCCGTCTGCGCAGCCATCTGTGCAGTATGTGCATTCTTGTGCATTCTTGTGAATTCTCGGTGCATTCTTGGTGCATTCTTGGTGCATCTTTGGTGCATTCCTGAAGGTCCTAGATCGGTTTTCCACCTTTGCAGAAGCGGCTGCTGAAGGTGGGGGCTGCCCACAAAAGCCTCAAGTGTTGGCACATGTGGGCTCAGAGTTGAGTTCGTCAGTCGAGTTCGCGTGAAGAGTTCGTATCAATGCTCGCAATTCGCTGCGAGAATCGCCGGAATTTTCTTGCCCCGGTGCAACAACCTTCAAACTTCAGGAATCAGCGTCTTCCTCTTCGTGGTGCGTTGGGGCCGTTTCAAGCCAGAGCATGACGAGGCCCTCGCGGCCTTCGCTGCGAACTGCGGGGAAACAGCTCTTCGTCACCTGGATTTTTTGGTGATGTTCAGTGGCTACGTTGGCAGATGCTGGCAGATGCAGTCCGAAAGACTGGGAAGCCACTGCCATGAGAACTTGTTCACAAGTGCAAAGCAGAAAGACTCGAATCTTTTACATTGATGCCACCAATACGGGCACGATTTCTAAACGGGTTTCTGTCACGGAACTTTCAGCACTGCCTGCAGAACAAAGGTGCAGTGATGTTTGGTCATGGGTCTTACATAGCTTGCACTTGACCCTGAGGTCACACGTTGCTTGTTTTTACCCACTGCGACCTAAGCGACGAGGCGCTGGTGCGTCAACTCTCCGAGCTTTGTTTGGCAGCCAAGTCCCCCAAGAGCGAAAGTGCGTAGATTTCCTGTTGTTGTCTGCTTTGTCATGACTCTTTGCGCACAGAATCCAGACCCAGGACACCTCCACCCCATCATCTTTGCAACGGTGGTTGGAGCGCATTGGTGGCCTGTCTGGACGAGATGTAGGCCATTGCAACATCGATGGTTTTGTTGAGTGCGATTCGAGCAGCTGAAGGCAGGTTACAGTACTGGCACTGGAACCTAAATGATGAGGTGGCGGTGCTGTGGGCATAAACAATGACGATGGTTCAACGGCCAGATCTCGTTTGCAGAAGGCCATTGAGAGCGCCTTGAACCTCCACTGGAACAGTTGATTGTGTTTCTGACTTTCTTATCCTGAGTTTGTGTTGGCTTAAGGTGTGGTGATGAGCACGGGCGGCCTGCGATACAGCAATGAGGCGGCATCTGTGGTCGGCAATATAGGTATGCCGGACCTGTGCAAAAGCTGCCGCATCACATGAACACAAGGCGTTGGTACAAGCGCGGGCGCAGCTAAAGGAAGCAGAAGAAGCTGAAAGAAAAGCGTTTGCGGCCGCTGTTGCTGAATGGAGACGCGGCACTGGCCCGGCTGCTGGTCCGCAGAGATCCGCAGAGATCCGCAGAGCGTGGGTTCGGGGCGCTGAGATAGATAGGTGGATCGAGGTGGAACCTTTGCCACAGGTGTTTTTGGACAGCCTTTGTTGGTCATCTCTGCTTCGTTTTTTTGCAGGGTCTTTCGGGTGTCCAAGAACTGTTCTGTTCAGTATGTTGAACAAAGCAGGCATCCGCAGCATTGGTTGTGAAGGTTCCGCGAATATGCCCGCGCAGTGCATGACAATGTGTAGGACTGGTTGGGAATCCGGCCATCCCTTTCAACGGAACGGCTTGTGGCGCGAGTGGGGGATTATTGTTTCCATGCGGCAGACCCAGACTGCCCTAGCTAGAAGCGCCCCATGCTGCATGTTCAGGGGGGAGTAGTGTGTGTGAGTGACGGGCTGTCTGACTGCGTGGCTAAGTGTCTGACCGTCTGCTGTTAAGTTTGTGAGCCATCTGCACGACCCCTCCTTCTTTCCGGTGGGCTTGCCCAGGCTTATTTGGCATGTTGGGCCGGACGAGGTCACAGTTGTACAATATGTTATTCAGATGTTTAGCCTGGCGAAACTTGGAAACAAAACGCATGGAAACTATTGCATATTGGACCTGCCATTGCACGGAATGCAACGAATGTCAAACAGCGGACCGCTTTGCTCTTACATCTGCGCGCTGCGGCTGTGCTGCGTTGAGGCGCCGTTTCCATGATCTGCCATTCCCATTCACATTAATCTTTCTTGTTTGCTTCCGAATATACTGTTTGTGATTCTTCATGAATACTGGAAGACCAGGGCGGTAACAGATGCTTGTGAGATCATTGTTCGAGGTTGTCATCGAACGAGAGCCTGGTGTAGTAACCCGCCCGCCCATCGCCGAGGGAAGGCTGGTTCTGCATGACACACGAAGCAGACGACTGCAGTGCTGCAGGCGATGGACACGATGTTTATATTCAACTTCTTGAGCCATTTGGCTTAGCAAGACCTGGTAGCCTCGGTGTTAGACGGTGCCATGACGCTCAGGCATTCTGATTCTGCAGACATGGATGATGGAAGTGGGCTAGGTGGACGTGCAAACGGAGACGTGTGCATGTCAGATCGGCTCATTCCATCACGAGGTTCGTGCAGTGAAGTCCGACAGCTAAAGCTGGAAAGAGATGAGAATTGGGCGCCGCAGAACGAGTACCACGAGGTCCTTTCACAAAATGTGCTGGGCAAGGAGGCCCTGAGCAATGTGAAGATCTTAAGCTACCAGCACAAGCCAATGAAGCAGGAACCAACGCTAAGCGAGTTGAGGGTGCTCTACAGCAGCAACCGGGATGGCACCAAAAATGGGGTCAGGACGTGTAGACAGCTTCCTCAAAGCGCCGCCAAAGTTCTGGATGCGCCTGGCATGCTTGACGATTTCTACAGTCACCCCATTGATTGGTCATCGCAGAATGTTGTGGCAGTCGCATTGTCCGACATGGTCTTTCTTTTTCACGCAGCTACAGGCAGCACTCAGAAGCTGCTACAGTTGTCGAGCGGTTCTGTGACAACTCTCCGTTGGACGGAGGCAGGGGGTCACCTGAGTGTCGGCGCATCATCAGGTGAGGTGCAGATCTGGGATGCAGTGGCCCAGCGCCAGTTGCGAAATCTTCGTGGACATGCTGGCCGAGTCGGGGCGCTGGCCTGGCACACTCACATGCTCAGTAGCGGCTGTGCGGATGCAGAAATCCATCAGCATGATGTTCGCGTACGTGATCACCTTGTCAACCGAATGACTTCTCACGCAGACTTAGTCTGTGGCCTTGACTACAACTGCGAAGGGATGCTAGCTTCAGGCGGCAATGACAACCTGGTTTGCATTTGGGAGACTCCAACCTCCTCCAGCCCTTTGCACACATTCACAGAGCACCAGGCTGCAGTCAAAGCAATCCGGTGGTGCCCATGGCAACGGCATGTTCTTGCGACAGGTGGAGGCTCGGCAGACCGCCAAGTTTGCCTGTGGAACGCTGCAAGCGGCCGAATGCTGATGTCTACGCACGCGGAGAGCCAGGTCACTGGGATCATCTGGGGGCAGCAGGAGAGAGAACTTCTTACAGCTCACGGGTACTCCAGGAATCAGCTGTCCCTTTGGAAGTACCCTTCGCTAGTCAAGGTTGGTGACTTGGAAGGGCACGAAGGGCGGTTGTTGGGCCTGGCACAGAGTCCAGATGGCTCGCTTGTGTGTTCTTCATCTGCTGATGAGACGCTCCGCTTCTGGCGCGTCTTTTCTCCTGTGGGTGCTGACAAGCGGGCTTCGAACAGCCAGACCACGAACAATATCTTGAAAACAATCCGATAGCACATGGGCAAACATAGAACACACGTCCAGAACGTGCTCCAGAGTCTAGAGTTTTGTTGGTTTTTTGGCAAGGGCCATCGGACGGCCACAAGCCCTTGTGCACAGAATTCAAACGCCAAATGCTTCATAATGCTCGTCGCCTTGAAGGTGCGCTTCTAGAAGGATTAAAAAAGCTGCGGTTCATCATGCCCTAGTGAACGTCAACTTAGTGCGCCACTGTGTTGCCCTTTTGCCAGGCAACCATGAGCCCGTGACCCAGCAGGCACCAAGGCTCACCAAAAGCCTAGGATGTTGGGCGCATCATGGCATGAACACTCCGTCTTTCCTCCGCACCTTTGCTACCACAGTTTGTGCAACTTCGTTTGATTGGTGATGCGCAACTTCCGAGCTTGAGATTGTGCTGCTCATGCGGGCTCATGACCACCTGTGCATCTTCAACTGGGTTTGGTAGAAGTTTCAGTCATACTAGGAAAGTTGGGCAGCAGTCAGGGCATGTATTTTCTCAGACCATGTTTTGCATGGTTTGGAGGCGCTAGCATCACCAGAAAGGGTGCCTGCACGGACATGTTCCACAAGAAGAAGCAATCAACATGCATTCTCAGTGAGCAGGCTTGTGCCAAGAGAAACGAAACATATCCTGGCCTGATGAGAAAGTGACATGCATCAGAATGAGCCTCCGGCAGCTACCTCAGTCGCGCGGTGTCCAGTTGCGGTTCTGTCTTTTCATGTCTTTTCATTCCCACCGCTGTACCGAGGCCATGGCTCTGCGCTTGGCCATGCTACGCATCTGTGCGCCGGGTACGTTACGTGACCCCGAATGTTGGGAAAAATCATTAGCAGCTAGGCCAGATAGGTCACAGGAGGTGCCATGTTGCTCTCCAACATCCTTGTACAGTATGCTTTGCAAGGAGGCAAAAGCACCGTAAATACCAGTGTTTTGGGTATGTTCCCCAAGGGTGTAAACGCTCGTGACAGTATGTCTTGCCCAGAAACGCCAAACATCCGTGTGCAGTGGGCATTTTTCGTCGAAGGCATGAACGCTTGCGCCAGAGTGTGTTGCTCCACATCCTTGTGCCGTTTGTTGTACAGTACAGAGAGGAAAATACGCTGTGCCCGCCCGCCTCTCCTCCCCCCCCCCCCCCCCGTACCGAACGGAAGTTGAAGATAAGAAGAATAGGTCACCAGCTGGCTCCCATGTCGCCGCAATTCGCCAACAGGAGGGACACACCATCCCAGGGGGTGAGAGGGAGATGGGCACTGCAGTAGCTCGGCCCGGCTTGAAGAGGGATGCCTGAATTGGTCTTGAATCGTGTGTCACAGCCTGGCAGGCCAGCGGCATGGAATCGACTACGCTGAAAATTCAGCTTTGGATGGGCTTGCGGGAGCTGCCTCCATGTTCGTGCAGGAGATCTAGGAATCTAGCCACAGGTGATGCATGTCGTGGCAAATTTCTCTTCATGCGATTTCTCGCTTCAGGACCTTGCTTGGCGTGCCAGGCGGCATGCGCAGCTTGCAAACCGCACAAAGGTCTGCGGCTAAGTGCCAGGCAGAGTCAGCTACGCGTTGTTACGTGTTGTAAGATCCGTCACTGTAGCCACGGAACGGCAAAGAGGTCAAAGCCTTAAAGACACTTAAACAGGGCGCAAATTTATTTCACTTTGAGCGATGACCACCCTATTCGCATTCACAAGGGGTTTCAGGAACATGTGCGATGCTTTGTGAATGCACACGGTTTGGGAGGCTTTTCGTCAGAGAAGGTATCCCCTTCTTGTATAGGGAAGTGTTTCTGGTTTTTCGCAGAGCATAAAGCCTTGGAAAGGACAGGAAGGCCTTTTCAAGGGGTGGTATCTCCAACTTTGACTTCCATTCCCGTAGAGCATCTCTGATGAAGAGTGATTTTGTGCTACTTCTGGGGTCAAAACCGAGGTGGTTATTGCAGATGTCATGGAAGCAGCGCATAGTGTGGCTTGCTCAGCCGGGACTTGGAAGGCGTCGGCACCTTGACATTACGATGGCTGCTGAACAGAACCCTTTCTGAGCAGAACCCTTTCTGAAAAAGCTGCATCATATACTGCCTTGCCCGATTTTGGGACGGAGTCAAATGCCTCTTTTGCTAGTCGGGCTAGTCGGGCAGTCGGGTGCACATGAAGCCCTCCCCAATTTGAGGAAGTAGCGAGGCTCACATGGCTCATAAAGCCAGCCGACATCGCATGCTGCCTGCGTTGTCTATGCAGACAAGCGGATGTGTAGCGTTCCTGTTGGCGCATGTTGGCGCATTTGAGGTGCCGGGTGGGCAGCACTTGGGCAATGTTCCCCAGGTCAGCCTTGTCATTTCCTTCATGTCCTACTCTTTCCTCATGCGGAGAGGAGCACGAGGAAAAGTTGGAGATGGGCCAAGCACCTGGAGTGTTCTGCGGTTTTCGAATGTTTTCGATGCTTTGAAGTTCAGTTCGGCAAAACTTGCTTCTTTTGTCTGACCTGATGATCCTGCGACTTGCGTCTGCCAGGGCTGAGAGTGGCCGCCTTTTCTTTGCAAACTTTGAATTCGGCCCTAAGTCAAGATGCAGGCAAGGCAACTAGTAGCATGGGAGCACGATAGCGGCATGAAGTAACTCTTGGACTTGTGACCGCCGCGTTTGACATGCTTCAGCCAACGTTGGTTGGAAAGTGGACGTAGAATGATGCTTGCCGAATGTACGTGTTTGCTGTGCTTTTCTGTTCGCTTCATGCACGTGTGCTTCGTCCTCAGGCAAATCGTCTGGCAAAACGTTGCAAAGATCATGTTCCACGGTTGGGTTCATTCTATTGTTGGCTAATGGTTGATCCACCCCGAATGAGTGTGGCAAGCTACTGGAGTCCCAGCCAACTATTGTAGCATACCGCAACACAATGCATGGCAGCTGAGACTTGAATCAGCAGTACAGAAGGGCCTGCCTTGCCTGTCCGAACTCACAAGCCCTCAAGCACAGATGCGCACTTGTTGTCGCGGTGTTTTTTAACAGCGTTTTCTAGGCCTTGGCTTTGGCCTGACAAGAGAAGTCTTGCACCTTGCAACCAGAGGCATCCTGGCTGCGGTGAACAAGGAGGCCCAAAGGGAAGTCTGCGGCAAAGTAAAAGCTACTGAGTACTGCCAGTGTGCTTCGTGCCATGAACTGTTGCGGGGCAGGCTGCGGCCTCTCGGCCCGAGGACGACGCTGATGCCGCCGGAACTGCAGTGACTGCAGTGACCGCAGTGACCGCAGTGTCTGGAGATTCAGACTCCCGTCTCAAGCTTCAAGCTCTTCAAGCCGACCAAGACGAGCGGCTCTTGAGGCGCAAGAGGCCAAAGACAGTTGCAGACGTTGAGGCTGACAGATTTACAAGCCTCTGTGGAGCAGACAGAAAAATGGACAGTGTCAACATGTCAACCGATGCGTGCGGCTCCTTGCATGTGTCATGCGCATCCTGGTCGTGCTTTCTTGCACCGCAACATCACCACCATGGAGTGTGAGAAGTCAAGACAGCCGTTTGCAGAAGTATGTGCAAAAAGGACCCAAGTCAATGGCCTCTCGATAATCAAAGCTCCCAGACCATAGCGAAGAAGAGCAGCACCCTCTGGGTTCAACTGGCGCAAGCAGATGTAGCATAGCCCACAACGCCCATCTAGCACATCCTGTCAGCCAAAAATGCCTTAATAAGTTTGCCAAGGGACGGGTGTTGCCATCGTATGGGAGTCGGAGCTTGCCGTTCAGAATGCCGAGGGTCGGAGGCTGTCGCAACCGTTCTAGTGGGACATGTGTGCGTAAATTTAGTAAACCATTGCAACTTCGTTTGAACGACCGATGTTCTGCACAGAGTGCGTGGATGCAGTTGGAGTGTCTGCGGTCGCAGTCATTCGGTTTGTCATGTGGCCATAGAGTCGCCATAGAGACGCCTATGGATGATACAGCGATCAGTTCGGAAGCCCAAGATAGGTTTGCGAAGATGACCCGTCCTTCGACGACGGCCCCTCTGTGCAGTTTGAGGTGGAGCACATAGGAGAGGCTTGGCCCAAGGAGATGCGCATCTGTCGACGATGGATCGGTAGATCGTTACTTGTGTGTGCTAGGCTGAAGATCAAGTTGTCAAGTTTACCACTGAAGCCGAGGCACCCCCATGGGATGTGCAGACGCCATACCAAAAGACCCGTGAGACCAGTCAACAGACATCGGCGCACGGGACTTAAACATTCACAGGCTCATCTGCGACCTACCCAGCAATTCTTCTACTGTAAGTACTGGTTGCGGAGGTATTCAGCAGACCAAAATCTCAGGGGTCACAAGGACAGGAAGTCAGGAAGTCTTGAAGTATGCTAAATGTTGGAGGTGGCGGCCGCACTATGTCAAGCCGTCACAGGCGTGAACCCGTTTATGACCAATGCCCTTGGACGGCCTTTGACATGCCTTGATTATATTTCAATGGCCTGGCGGCCTGGCCTGGCCTCGTGGCTTAAACAACAAAACATTTAAAAACCTAAAGTCGCTTTCAGGCCCTGGGAGCGGACAAGCAAGAAACACGCTTGCCCCTTTTTCTACGCAAGAGGAGGCATCTTTCCTAATTGTCTTATCCAAGACTGCAGTGGGCATGTACAAGTAGACGATCTTATGAAGATGGAGCTAGGTTCGTCGTCTCGCTCAAAAGTGTGCCGAGTGCTGCATGTCCGGAGCACGAGCCGAAAACAAAAAAGGAGGGAGGAGGGCCGAGTCGGAAAATCGAAGGGCCGAGTCAGAACATCCAGGCCGATGATGACAGGCCGAGAGGTGACCAGCTCTGCCCGAAACCCTTGTGACACTCATAAAGCATGAAAATTAACCCTTGCCTTCGATTTCCTCCCCGGTACGAACTTTGAAATGATTTTTAGCTTTTGCTGGGCTGTATGTGTGTTTATAGACACATGTGCTTGCCATGCTGCTGCAATGAGTCCAGCTGTTGCCAGGTCCGAAACACGGTAGCTATTGTTGACCTTCTTGCGCAAGCCGTGAATTATCACCCTGTCACCCAGCCTGGAACATTCAAACGTCCACCCTTGTTTCCAAACCTAAGCCCAACTGCCCCTGGCAATGATCACCATCCACTTCGGCCCCGGGTTTTTTCAAGAGAAGGTAGAGTTGTTAGGAAGGAGGGTTTTTGGTCCGGCTACTCGCAGCTGGCGGCTAAGCCATTGACTGTAGAGGTCGCCGGCCTACGCCGTTCGTCCGGTAGGATGTTCGCAGCAATGAGGAAACGAGAAATGTTCGGCAATGCAACAGTGAGGACTGATGGAAATGCGAACAGCGCCTGACAGCAATCGACAGCAAAACGTGCTCTCACAGCAATGCAGCAGCGAGGAAACGCTCACAGAGATGCAAGGTGGGTTGGGTGAGTCTTGTCCTGATAATACTCGGATTATCAGAAATGATGGAGCCAGATGCGCATAGATGCGGTGTCCCTGATGGAAGTGTGAAGATCATGTGGGAACCTGTGCGTGTTGATCTCCGACTGGCTCAGGCCAATCCGCAAGTGAATGACAATCACCCTCTTGCAGTCTTACCCAAAGTCAGCCTGTACGACGCCTTCCGTTTTGCGGGCCGAAACTACGACGTGGTTTACCAGTTAACCACCCTAAGAAGAAATGCTCTGCGCAATCATGCTGTTGGAGTGCTACAACCTGTTCAACTTTGACTGAGAATACGACGTGAGAATTGGAAGAAAAAGAGAGAGACAGAGAGAGAGAGAGAGAGAGACCCAATAAGTATCTCACCTGGATCTCGCACTCGGGCGCGCCTTGGTGCGCGGGGGGGCCCCGGGTCCCCTCATGCCCAGCAGAAGAAGAAGAAGAAGCAGAAGAAGAGGGAGAGAGAGCGAGACAGGGGGGACTCCTAAGTGCAGAGAAGAAGAGGAAGACGAAGAAGAAGAATAAGAAGAAGAAGAAGAAGAGCGAGAGAGCGAGAGAGAGAGAGAGAGAGGGAGAGCGAATGCAAGAGATCCAAGATGAGAATGAGCGAGATGAGAAATGACAGTAGCCATTTTGGCTCAAGTCTGTGAGGGGAACCCGCCCCCCTGATCAGGCTTGAGTCAGCCGCGCCGCTGGCTCAAACCTGGGAAGCTCACTCCGCTCACCCTAACACCCACTTGTGGTTTCAGTTCGGGGGCGAATGCGTGTCAGTCGTGCTTGGACTTTCAGGGGGCTGCCCTAAAAAGAGCGAGTGGGGGGACCAGGCAGGCGCTGAACACCACATAGACTAACTTCCCAAACTCAACTTTCCGGACATACTCAACATTCTTCTCCAGGACCTTCACTGCTTCCATGTCCCAAACCCACCTCATCGCTTTTCCCCACCCAGCACCCTGTAACAACAGATCCTTGCCATGGCAACACCGAAAGGGGGGATGCCCCCCACCATGCCCGTTCCGGACGAGGCGCAAAGGCTATTGGGGGAGGCCCTACACCATATGAGGGAGCTCATCCGCTGGGTGGCAACGACATATACTCCCGACACCGCCGCCCGCATCGAAGAGCAGCTCCAGAGGGCGAACATCCAGCAAACTACCCAGTGGTTCCAGGCCAGTGTCAATGTGCTTATGCCACAGTTGGGGGTGATCTACGTGCCGCCGCATGTCGGGGAGATCACCACGCCACCAGTGCCCCCGAGCGGGGGAGGCAACCCACTTCGCCACCGGGGCGAAACAGGGGGCAAGCACGCAAAAGTCAAGAAGGAGAAGGACAGTGATGACGAGAAGGACAAGGCCGACTGGGGGGAGGACACGGAAGAAGAAGATGGCAGAGTCCAAGCCCGGCCATGTGAAATACCATCGGCCGCGGGGGACACCAAACACCACCTACAGCAAGTCAAAGCGGAGGAGACCCCGGGGCCATGTAAAAAACCATCGGCTGCACGGGGGAGCAATACAAATCAACCGGGACGAGAAGAAAAAACACCACCGCGAGAAGGAGAACTCCCAGAACTACCACCGCCAGGACCACGACAAGGCCAAGACAGAGCTGAAGAAGGGGGAAAACATGAAGGCCAAAACAAAGAAGACGAAGGCGAAGAAGAATATGAAGAAGTCCAGGTAGACATGGAGGAGAACAAGGCCGAAGTGGGGGGAGCCCCACAAACCGGCCGACCTGGACTACGACCCGCGATGCCACAGACAACCTCCACATCGCCCTGGAAAAGATTGCGAACCACGGCACTACACCACATTGTCCCTTCGACCACCACGTGGGAAACGCTCCATCACCAACAACGACAAAGACGAGATTTCCCAGCTGGAGCAAAACCCACAAGGACCGCTTCGCAGGCAAGGGGGCAAGACAGCAGAGGACCATGTGAAAGACCATCGGCCTCAACAAACCCCCAAGCCAAAAAAGGAGCAAAGGGAACATCAACACCTACAAGGGCGACTTCACGAGATGGGGGGCGAGACAACAGAGGACCATGTGAAAGACCATCGGCCTCCTACCAGCCCCAAGCAAAAACGGGGGAGAAGATGACAGCCAAGCTTGTGGCTGCACCAAAAACCCGCCGCTCAAGGACACCAAGAAGGGGACCATATGCAACACCATCGGCCCCGTCGAGACCCCCAGCACATGACAGACCACCTCTTCCACGCAAGAAGAAGACCGGGGGCGACCAGGGCAGACGTCAAGAAAAGCTGGGGGAGAAGGTGGCACGCCTGGCAAACTCCAACGTCGACTAAGATGGGACTACAACAACAACCTCCACAACTGATGGGCAAGGGATAAGTGACCTAGGGGCCTTCCAACATGCAACAGTGTAACTTGAGATAGGAAACACACTTACCGTAACCCCATTGCCAAACTGCAAAGGGGGAACCACATTCTTTTCCGACCCGCTGCCGCACTGCAGGGGGTTGTGTTAGGCACCGTGGACAAACAACGACCTTTCTTACTTTTAACCATGGCCAAGGGTTCAATTCGAGGGCGGCACTTTCGATCCAACACCAAGATAGGCACCCTGGGGGGAAAAACCAACAGCGTCCCCCAGGTGCATGTTTTTACCCTTTCGGCCATTCAGCTTCTTCTTTGCCCCGTCAACAAGATGGGGATCACGAGACCTTGGACATCGCGCGCCCCTAGGGGCGGCCTCTCCTTCGGGGGGGGCCATGCGTGCAGGAGAGAGAGAGAGAGAGAGAGAGAGAGAGAGAGAGAGAGAGAGAGAGGGAGAGCGAATGCAAGAGATCCAAGATGAGAATGAGCGAGATGAGAAATGACAGTTGTTCGGGGCAAAGGCGATGTTCCCACAGCGTGTCTGCCCCATCACGGCCGAGGAGCTCGAGTTTCTGAACTTATGTTTGTTCCGTGCTGCCCCTATGCAGGACCTGTCGTGAGGTGCCACGTCAAAGACGCCCCGATGCCATCTCGACACTCTTTTGCATGGTTTCGAATGCAGCGGCACTGCATGATTAAGTGATGGCAGCTGTGCAGTTTGCAGTCTCCCACCACGCCCCATTCGTGGCTGTGTGACAGTTGGCTGGTGCGCGGTTCTTGCGTTTTTTCTCAATTATATAACGAATATATATGTATATATATATATGTGTGTATATGTACATATATATATACACCTATTATTTAATAAATATCATCATTTTCATCATCATTTTTCATTACCATTCTTATTCTTGTTAGCATTGTACTCTTCTTCTTCTTATCATCATATCCCTCCTCCGGAGGATGTTGCCCACAGCTTTGGGCTCCATCCCACCACTCGGAGGGCAGACTGATTGGGGACCAGCTGGGAATGGGGGTGGCATTGTGTTGCCATTGGCGCAGGCAGGCGCTTGTGTGCTGGAATAAGGTTTGAGGCTGTGACGTGAGTGGGTCCGGGTGCATGAAGGTCGCTTTGGGCACCTAGTATTGGCAGAGGGATCTGCGGAGAAGAGTGCTAGCCGAAATGGCACGCGTCGTGCACTGCCCGTTGCAGAGGTGATGGTGGTTACTTGACCTAGTAGAGTGTGACCTTCGCGGGAAGAGCTGCGTTGGATGAGGCTATCGCGAGGATGGCAAGCTGTGTTCCCCTCATGCCTGCCCAGCCGAGCAGTACTCTGCTCGGTTGGTGTAGGTGGCGGGCTTGCCTAGTGACTGCTTCGTTCGGAAGGTAACACGCCCTCTCGCTGGACTGGGCCGGTCTCCGTTCGTCTCTGCGTGCTGTTGCGTCTTTGTTTTGTTTGTTTGTCGTTTCGTAGTTGTTGGGGCTGACACTTTAAGCCTTCGGGCTGGAGGTGTCGCCTTTTTGTTAGGCCAGGTAAGTGCTTCCAGCAGGCACGTGCCTCGGTCGACTCACTGTCACTCACTCACTATTGTTAGTATTAGTATTATGAGTATTATTCTTATGTTATATATTAATGTGAGTTATTTATTATATTACTATTCTTCTTCTTCTGATCATTAGTACTATCATCATTACCATTGTTATTATTACAATTCTTCTTTTTCTTCTTCGTATTATTGTTATTGTTATTGTTAGTACTGTATTAGTACTAGTATTAGTATTAGTATTAGTATTAGTATTAGTATTAGTATTAGTATTAGTATTAGTATTAGTATTAGTATTAGTATTAGTATTAGTATTAGTATTAGTATTAGTATTAGTATTAGTATTAGTATTAGTATTAGTATTAGTATTAGTATTAGTATTCGTACTGTACTCTTCTTCTTCTTCTTGTGATAATTACCACTATTATCATGATGATGATGATTATTATTATTATTGCCGTGATTATTGTCATTCCGATTGTATTATTGTTTATTTTTTCTCGCTCACTCTCTCTCGCGCTCTCTCTCTCTCTCTCCCCAGCTGCCCGATGCCAGGTCACAGAATGGTTGGGTGTTGGGTGGTCTGCTGGCCGAAGATGAAACGGAGTTTTGTAGAAGTGGACAGCGCCGCCTTCGTCATCTTAATGCTCCCTGCGATTCCATACTGTAACCCAGGCCTCGATTGTCAGGGTAAGAGAGGCCCCCAGCTTATTGTCCTCAAGGCGCCGATTGATTCCGAAGCTTCTTCCACGGGATTGCCCACTCGCATCCTGATCCTGCACCTTTACCCCAACCACCTCTCAGGCCAAGCTCCTGCCAAAACAAGAAAGCACCCGAATCCGAAAGCTGCGTGACTGAAACTTAGCATCCAAACCTCCACCCCCAGTGAAAAGTTGCCTGCACATGTGAATTTGCGCGTTTGTTTAGAATATGAATATGCTGCCACTTGCCCATCTCAAATACTGGAGGTGATTTGTTATCTTGGACATGAGAGGCGGCCCAACCACACGCCTTGCGCGACCCCGTGGATGAAGGGGTTTTGAGCCCAAAGAAACGGCGCGCGGGTCCCAAAGGCCCAGAGGCTTTGGGGTTTGGCATGTTTAAGGGGGAATCTCAGTCGGAAACTCGAGTTGTGCCACGGGGCAGCCAAGTAAAAGTGACAGTTGGCACAGATCTCTTACTCTGTATTTGGATTGGCTCAGGATGACGGCGCCCATGCTGTCCTGCTCTGTCTCCAACGAATACACAGCTACACTTCTGAAACGGAGTCTTACTGCACCTGAGCTGGATGGGACGTTGCTTGAGCTTCGTCTCTCAGCTGAAATTGAAAGTTGGAGATCATTGGAGGTCTTCTGGTTTGAAAATTGCTCAGTCCCCAAATGGCAAAGGTGCGGCTAAGAACATCGATCTCGGGGCAGAAGAAGCACGGTGCAGATCCTGCAAAGCAGAAGGACAGCAGAGATGCTGAGAGAGCAGTGCAAGAGGTGCTCTCTTGTGGTCTGTCAGGCACCGAGCTCTTTCTGAGCCCTTGTGATCATCGGTGTCTGAGCTTCTAAAGTCTAAAGTCTTTCAAGACTTTCTCCAAATCCCCCCCATGAGCCTGAGCAGCCAAGGAAATACTGCAAGCAATGGGCTTGGCAAGTGAAGCGTGTGCAGTATGCACATAAACCTGCAAGCAAGTGCATCGAGACGACCTCGCCAGCACTGTTGAAAATCAAGGTGGTGCTGGATTGCTGCTGATTTCAACGACCAGGTTGCCAGCGTCAGTTCAATCCAATTTCGTAAAGAGGAGTGTAGGTCTGAGTGCGTGCAGTGCGTGCCTTTCCAGAAGTTGTTGTTAATTCATGTCTACTTCATTTTGAATCATTTCCGCCCAGCTGACATAGGAAGCTCGAGGGGGTTTGAATCATGCAAAGGGTCTTTCTGTTGGCGCTTCAACTCCAGAGTCGACTCTTGCATCTCTTCGAAAGTGCTCTCAGAACTGCCAAGAGAAGATGCAGGAAACAAGAAAGCAAGAGCGAAATCTAGCCCCGCAACGCGCCTAAGAAAAGAACCCCTTCAATTTCTCAAAGAGTGAGAAGGACACTCGCCGCCCCTGCATTTGTTGATTTGGCCCCACCGTTCTTTAGTTTAAGAACCTCCCTCCCACCCCTCCAGCAAGCTCCAGTTTGCGTTTGTGCAGGGTGTGCCGCCCTCCAAATGGGAACCATGGCCGTTGATTGCAGTAGAGGTCGTACGTGAGTGGCATGCAGAGGACATTGATCAGCCACGTGTGAGTGCTGCACCAAAAGGAAGTAGCGGGCAGCTCGTGCAGGAGTTGGCACTCGCCTGGTCCGGCCGAGAGCTGCCACAAGTTCCACAGGCAGCATGGAATCATGCGAGCATATGCGAGCCATCGAACCATGGTCGGATTTCTGTGAGATCGGATAGAAACCAAGCCACTGCAAGGCATCCTTGGCAGTGGCTTCAGCTACTAGAACGTGCGATGTGGTTTCAAACGCGTTGACATCCATCGTGTGGCTTGCTTTGCCATGCCATGTTCAAGTATGTTGATGTCTCTTGTCGTGGAAAACTCAACATCGCGCAGCCGATCTTCTAAGGTCCAAGGTTCCCATCCACGTGCAGCCGGATGTTGTTGGGCCCCTCGCGAGGGAACATCTCCATTCAAGAGCGCAGCCGGGGCAAGTCATCCAGGACCGCCTTGTGCAGAAGCATTGGCTACAGTGTGTTCTCTCAAGTTGTGCTGCTCGATTTCTTACTTCCTGTTTACCGACGGGCATGCCTTTCAGTCGCTTTCGTTTGCGCAAAACGAAGGACAAGTATCGCATTATTGACCATATTGGACTGGGAAGTTACACTGAAGCATATCTCGCAGAAGACCTTGTGCTTCAGAGGAAGGCGCAGTCTGCGTGTTTCTTCTGTGAAGCTTGATTCGATTCTGTTTTGCTTTCTTTCCTGTGGGACCCCCGAGGTCTGCTTGAAAAGACATCACATATTCGATATGGAGGACGGCCCGAGCGTCGTTTTTTTTGACTTGCTGTGGTTTTTACTGTCGGTTCCGTGCACTGTATGCATTGCTTTGCTTCGGGCAACTGGGGACCGAAAAGGTGCTCGCTGATTTGGTCGTCATTGATCAACGCTTACACCAGGCCCAACTCAGTTTCGTGCACGATTCTGACACGGATTCTTGGGATTTAAAAATCTTGGAGTCTTAGGTGGATCCTGAAGGTTCCGCCTTTCCTAGACTTCATGAGGCGCCAGCACCTACATCATCCCAGATGCGCTTTTTTGTAACCTTGTAGGGATTGCAGGCCCTGTGGGGCATACAGCCGAATCGTTGACATAGATGGTAACACAAATGGAGCGTTGGCAGGCTTTCTTTGACGGCCTTGGCTGGACAGTCGAATCTTTAGTTGAAGGCCTGGATTTGCAGGTCAAGCATCTGGGCGCCACATTCAGTTTACTTCCGCAGTTTGCGCCAGCAGTTTCACTCAGATGTCCGACAGTTACCACCAGGAAGTGTTCCCCTCGATGCCATGACTTCTTGGGATAGCTGCGGTCATGAGACCAAGGAGCACTGCTGATCCGCTCTTCTTCTCGGAGGTGTCCTCGCCTGTCACCGCTCGGGAAGTCTTTTTGACAAGTCTTTGCGCACATATTGGGGGCATCTTATGTGCTAAGTAGACGTTGTGACGTTGTGGTGAAATGTTGTGAAGGTGTCACACCTGCGGCTGGTCGCTCGAGGGGTGCTGAGCGGGCTGGCCTTGCTGGAGGAAGCAGGCATCGTCCACAATGTCACCTGGCAGCCCATGCTACTTCACGACTGAACTTCACATAACTTCACCTTTTCTCCAATTTCTTTGTTTCCTGCCAATGCTGCAGCCCACAAGGACTTGAAGCCCGACAATATTGTCTGGGCCGAGGCAGAAGCAGTTTGCTGGCTTGACAACCGTGAAGCTACAAGAGCTGTTGCATCTTTTGCAGTCTGTGATGCGGGGGGGGGGGGGGGTTTGCTGCTTGTTTGCCCTTTGCATGAATGCTGCTTTTCTTCCATTGTTGTCTTCCGCAGCCCAGTTGGACAGGGCCAATCAGGAACTTCAAATGTTCGCATCGTCGACTTCAATTGCGCTCGCCCAGGGCTTGGAGGTGAGCACTAGCGCGGCCTTTTGCAGTCACTGCTGCGCTCAACGCCCAGGTCTAGACTATCGTGAGCATCCAGAACACGACTGGAACATGCAAGAAGGCGGCATTGGCTGTCGTTTGGTTCTCAGGTTCTTCGTTGCTTCCCCAGTATCATTCCAGGGCCCTCTCTGCACGTCATCCTCAGGTGCATATTGCTCTCCTGAGATGGCTCTAGGATTGCCAGTGACGCACAGCCCACATCTCGGACTGGAGCCGTTTGCATCTACATGACAAAATTTCGGCGTAGAAGCTAGGCCCTAGGCGGCCCATTTGACATATAATTGATGTACATCTTCAGGCAGTGACATCTGGAGCCTGGCCGTAGTTCTTTGCGAGCTGTACTCTGGACGTGTGGGACTTACCGCAGTGCGCGAGTTCAATGAGAAGTGCCTCAACTTGTTTTATTGCAATAAGGTCCGTCAAGCTTGGTGCTGTGTTGCGACAAAGATGCTGTGCAGGCATCTTTTTTGCTCTTTGGTAATGCATTCTGCAGTGATTTTGGCGCAAGGGTGTGAGCTCTTGCAGGTGTCGATAGCACAGGCGCTGGGATTGTGCAACATGCCCGAAGGAATTCCATCAGCGTTTCTACTGCCGTTTGGTTGCATGCTGGGTTTAAGCCAGCGCTGGGCATTGTATACCCAGCCTACCAAATTGTGCATAAAGATTGCAATACCTGCACTCCTCCTTTGATGAAGCTCTGGCCTCGTTTTGGTTCCCCCGTCTTCTGGCTGGCGAAATCGAGCAAGATTGTGCCACTTGAGCGTGACGGCTGCGCTGCACCATGCCATGGTGTTGGCCACTTCTCATACCTGGAAAATCTAAGGAAGAGTCCGATAACACTGAGCAGGACTGGCTGCATAGTCCAGTCGCATCTTCTCAAAAGAGTTGATGTAGCTGTAATTCCGAGTCAGCAAGCAGGAATTTCACACCAGCTTTCACGGTGGTTCGGGGGCATTTGCCTCTTCGGCGGGGCCGCGCCTCCCATATGGAAGCACTCCGGCCGCTTCAGTCTCATACTCAGCGAACTCAATCCCCCAACATTTTCCAGCAAACAGCCAGAGGATGGCTTTTCGCGTGGTCAGGTTTGGGCTTGCTCATCTTTTCTGTCTGACCCTCATTTGTCCACATTTTTAAACAAATATTGTTTGTCCTGTGAGACTCCTAGCCTTCGATGTTAGCAACCGCGAATGTTGATTGGTCGTGGATTGCGTTCGCCAGGCACCAACAAGAATAGCGAGGCGAATGCGCTTCGAGATTTCCTGGAGGTGGCATGTTGATTGTCTCAGTACACAGCATCAGCCAGGGCTGCCTTTGGTGCAGGCCTGCCTTGTCTGGGATGGGCTTCAAAGACCTACGGCCAGGAAGCTTTTGACTCGCACCTCGGTTGCAGTGTTACACGAGTTTACATGTGTTAAGGCAGCTTTCCGGCAATTCGTCGGTCCAATAAGCATGGAACAGGTAGTGGTTTCCTTGGGCGTGGCACTGCGGCGAAGGCAAGGAGAAGGGAATTGCTTCGCAGCGTCTTCCAGTAGAGTTGCGATTTGCAGGCTTCCAGCGTGAAGCGGGCAGCCAAACCTGCGTAATTAACAGCCAAAAGTACAGCAGACCTGCACGCAGAAGCTGCAGTTGTTTGCCAGCTTGCCGGGGGTGTTTGTTTAACTGGGAAGATCACGGCAGTGCCGGCTCTGATCTACTTCGTGACGCGCCATATGGCGCAGCAGGGGGTAGAAAAAAGAGTATGTGCCAACATGTACACGCGACGAACATGTGAGTTACGAAACTGTGCGACCGTGCATGCTAGCCTTCTCTCTCTCTCTCTCCCTCTCTCTTGTCGACATATACTTTAAAGCTTCGAAGGCGTTCTAAGAGTATCGAAGGTGTTTTGGGGTGAAACGGAAACTTTCCGTGTTGAAGACAAGCTTTTGGGGGCTAAATGGGACAGCTATGTGATTGTGGCCAATGCTCAATCTGAGAGTAAGGAATATTGCAGGCCTAGCGGCACGGGCCGGCCCGTCCCCCCCAAAAAACGAAACCTTAAACCTTGGCATCTATCATCCTCATACTCCTCATACCTGCCTACACGTTGTGCGGGAGGGGGGGGGGGGGGCAACCAGAGACTGACAGTTCTTGAGAGGTGCCAGGCGGGTCCCTAAGCCCCAAAATCTGAACCCTAAACTCTTCTCTCTCTCTCTCTCTTCTTCTCTCATTTCTTTTTTCTCGTTCTCTTTTATTTCGTTCTCGTTCTTTCCTTCCTCTCTCTCTCGCTCCTCTCTCCTGCTCTTCTCTTCTCTCTCTTCTCTCTCTTATCTCTCTTCTCTCTCTTCTCTCTCTTCTCTCTCTTCTCTCTCTTCTCTCTCTTCTCTCTCTTCTCTCTCTTCTCTCTCTTCTCTCTCTTCTCTCTCTTCCCTCTCTTCTCTCTCTTCTCTCTCTTCTCTCTCTTCTCTCTCTTCTCTCTCTTTTCTCTCTTCTCGCTCTTCTCGCTCTTCTTTCTCTTCTCTCTCTTCTCTCTCTTCTCTCTCTTCTCTCTCTTCTCTCTCTTCTCTCTCTTCTCTCTCTTCTCTCTCTTCTCTCTCTTCTCTCTCTTCTCTCTCTTCTCTCTCTTCTCTCTCTTCTCTCTCTTCTCTGTCTCTTCTCTCTCTTCTCTCTCTTCTCTCTCTTCTCTCTCTTCTCCCTCTCTCTTCTCTCTCTCTCTCTTCTCTCTCTCTCTCTCCTCTCTCTCTCTCTCCTCTCTCTCTCTCTCTTCTCTCTCTCTTCTCTCTCTCTTATCTCTCTCTTCTCTCTCTCTCTTATCTCTCTATCTCTCTCTTCTCTCTCTCTCCTCTCTCTCTCTCTTTTCTCTCTTCTCTCTCTTCTCTCTCTTCTCTCTCCATCCTCTCTCTTCTCTCTCTTCTCTCTCTTCTCTCTCTTCTCTCTCTTCTCTCTCTTCTCTCTCTTCTCTCTCTTCTCTCTCTTCTCTCTCTTCTCTCTCTCCTCTCTCTTCTCTCTCTTCTCTCTCTTCTCGCTCTCTTCTCGCTCTCTTCTCTCTCTCTCTTCTCTCTCTCTTCTCTCTCTCTTCTCTCTCTTCTCTCTCTTCTCTCTCTTCTCTCTCTTGTCTCTCTTCTCTCTCTCTTCTCTCTCTTCTCTCGCTCTCGCTACGCTATCGCTCTAGCTCTTCGCTCTCGTATCGCTCGCGCTCTCGCTCTTCGCGCTCGCTCTTCGCTCTCGCTCTCGCTCTCGCTCTCGCTTCGCTCTCGCTCTCGCTCTTCGCCTCTCGCTCTCCTTCTCCGCTCTTCGCTCTCGGCGCGCTCTCGCGCTCGCTCCGGCTCTCTCTATCTCTCTCTCTCTCTCTCTCTCTCTCTCTCTCTCTCTCTCTCTCTCTCTCTCTCTCTCTCTCTCTCTCTCTCTCTCTCTCTCTCTCTCTCTCTCTCTCTCTCTCTCTCTCTCTCTCTCTCTCTCTCTCTACTGCGTGAAACGCCGGTAGCAGCTAGAACCAAAACCAGCAATGATAACACAGTAGTCTCGACGGAGAGCAAACTGGAACACAAACACGGAAGAGTTGCGAAAGACATAGCTTTTGCCAGTCCCTTGCACGCGGAGCCCTTGATGCAATACCGACTGAGAGGCATCAACCCGAAGACCCTGCGCACATCTAGTGACTTAGCGAAACAAGCGCAGCAAACGCAAACCTCGTCCATCAAGCCATCAGAAGCTCTATCCCATCACGGGCTTTGGTCAATGCCGCTCGTCATGCGTGTCGTGGAGCCGATCCGGTAGTTACTACCACTGGAGACTAGCGCGAGTGCCCGACATTTCTAGGCACTCGCCCAATCAGATCACTGCTTTTGTTGCAGTGCAAGACAAACAGTTTCAGAACACCCTTCGTTGGTGGCTTCGGGCGCTTGAAGATGAGCTGGTAACGTATGCTCAAACAAGTCAGTTAAACAAGAGCAAAACCTCCTCAACAGATTTTCCCGAACTGTGCCGAGCTGGTAGTCACTACCGCTGGAGACTGGCACGAGCACCCAACATGTCTAGGGACTCGCCCAATCAGATCACTGCTTTTGTGGCAGTGCGCGACAAACAGTTTCAGAACACCCTTCGCGGGTGGCTTCGGGTGCTTGAAGATCGAATCTCAGACTTGGCCGCCCATCCTCTTGATTTTAGGAAACATGACTAAATCAGCTCCCTCTCTGGATTTCAGGGAATGAGCCCACTCAACAATGGGCAAAGCATAACTTTTCACGATTCAAAGCAATGGCCCACTGTGGGCGCAGAAAGAGCACATGCTGTTGAATAGCCCCGTGCGCGCTTGACTTGCTGATGGAAAGGCATTCGGGCGCGACGCAGGGCTCACATAACATCTTATGCTAGCAGCGAAATTGACAGAATCATACAACTAGGGTCGGGACGGCTACAAGCGTTTCAACACAAAAGGCGCACCTTTTTTTGCGCGTTCTGCCCCTCGGATGCCGCTCGACCCCAAACGCTGTAAACCCTACTACAGCGTTTGCAAGCTCCGTCAGGCTGCGTCAGGTCCTGTTTTTGCCACATCAATAGTAGGACACTCCTGACGTGTGCGCTTTATGTACGGCTACCGGCTTCATATACGCAACCTTGCCACCGGCGGCACCTGTGCGAAGCCTGAACATCAAAATCCTCAACCCATCTGACCGAGCGCTTTCGAGACATCCGCTGTCTTCTGTCAATGGTTCTCACGGAAGGCTTGTATCCCGAAGAGTGAAACCGACCAGCATGCGGGTTCAGAATTCGGTCCTGACTGTGCGGTTGCTAGATTTGCAATAATTGCAGCAGCCCTTTCGATCGCGATTGCCTCCCAGTCATATCTGGTAGTCTTACCGCTGGGTCAGGGTTCGCCTTGGCTTTCTTTTTGTGGTCTTCCTGGGCCTTGGAGCTGTGGCTGCCTGGGCAATTCGCAAGCTGCTGCGCACGTGTCCTTCGCAGCGCGTGCCCTGCTGTGCGCGTGCCCCCTCAATGAGGAACAAGCCCAACTCAATCTCAAAGCCCATAACTCCCAGATCTTCAACCTCAATGCTTGACTCCACCGCCAGGCCTCGAGCCCCTTACAGGTACAGACGTTGCTGGCCACTATGCTGACTGATCCGCAGGACGGCGCGCCCCTTCTTCTAAGGACATCTATATATAGCCATATAGCCCTGAAGCACAACCTCTGTTCCAAGATGGGTCCGATTTCGATAACCCACACACGAATTATTGTGTTCAAAGAAGCCAAGAAAATGGCTCCAATGCCGAATATCTCAGCGCCCGAGCGCCCCCGGCGCACAAGCGAAACATTGGCACAGCCAAGGACTCTCCGAAGTGCACGGTAGGGCTTAGGGCATTGCGGGCAGGCGGGCGGGCGCTTGCGCGCTTGCTTGTGACATATACCCATCTAACATGAAATCCACTTTGGAGTCTAGGCTCCCCTAGGAACAGGTTTTCGGTATGAAGCCCCGAGGTAAGAGTGTGTTTTTGTTCGGGAGGCTGGACGGGAGCTGTTACCCTAAACCCTAAACCCTAAACCCTAAACCCTAAACCCTAAACCCTAAACCCTAAACCCTAAACCCTAAACCCTATGTTTTTTTGCTGTTTGGCTGTGGAGGTCGGACGCCTTGTTTTGAGCTCTGGAGGCCGGGCTCTGTTCTGCTGCGGAGGGCGCCTTTTTGCTCTTGGCTTCTTCGCCGCGGTCGACATTGGGGGTTTAGGGTTTAGGGTCTAGGGTTTAGTGCTTAAGGCTTAAGGTTTAGGGTTTAGGGTTTAAGGCTTAAGGTTTAGGGTTTAGTGTTTAAGGCTTAAGGTTTAGGGTTTAGCGTTTAAGGCTTAAGGTTTAGGGTTTCAGGGTTTAGGGAGCTCCGAGCCATCAACCCCAACCTTAACCCCAACTCCCGATCCCACATAACTGTCATCTTACCATGTGCTTCGGGGATTTGACTCCCTAGAACCCAAAACCGCTAACCTGCATAAACCCATAGAGCCACGAACCCCCTCCTATCGCAGATGAGTCGCTGGTTGATGCTGCCGTGCTCATCCTCAGTGCAGCTGGGGGCACATGGATGCCAGCAGTTCCCAATGTCTCCCGCCACACTTTTTCTTCCTTTCTTCTATGGTTTTTTTCTGACTAACACTTTTTGTTCCTGTCTTCTATGGTTATTACTCAGATTAACACAGAAGGTTCTGGACAAAACCCACGTAGGAACTTGTTGACAACTCTTGAACCCTGCAGTGCTTTGCTTACCTCAGGCTTTAGGGTTTAGGGTTTTTAGGGGTTTCGGGTCAAGCGCCGGGTGACCATGGGCATGGGGAGGAAGGGGGAGAGGGGCGACGAGCTGTTCTGTATGGCTTACCCGCAGGCTCTGTTGTGGTCTTTTTTCCCGGGTTCCTCATAAGGAATCTCGCAAGGCACCCTAGCCCAGAAAGAGCTGTGTGAGTGCCGCTCCGCCCGAAGCCCTAAGACCCAAACCGGGTTGTCAAGTTCGGATGGGAGCTGAGAGGTGAGGTTAGGCTCTGGATTCTGACTTCCCTATGTGCATACCGCCCCAAGAACTTCGCCCTCCGTAGGCAAGAAAACTGTGTTGCCTCTTTCTGG